ACAAAAAGCTTGTAGGAAAATGCTAATTTTTTTTCAATTTTGTTTTTTTCTCATAAAAGTTTGAGGAGTCCACACAACATGCTTGGTGACATGCATGTTTATTGACGCTAAATTCCAATGGAAGTGATATGTTTGAGCGAGCACCTCTGAACAGGTAGTTATAGGCGTGTTATCATTAAGATAAGAGGAACACAGGTGAAAAACACAGGTGCCCCTTCTGTAAAAGTGGCTGGGCAATTTTTCACCCAAACGTCAAATACAACTGGAGGGGAACCCTGTGTATTTTTCAAATATGCCGTTAATTTTGTGTTCAAAATTTAAAATATATTGATATCAAGGCTTAAAAAAAATATTCTATTCATTTATACCGACTACCGTTGCTAGTCAGGTGTCATTTTTGACACATATGAACAAAACACCGCATATATATTTATAAATAAAAAATATATAAATATACATACAAAACTGTTGTAGACGTGGGAATTCCTATAGGCACTCTATCCAGCTGCAGGAACATGCATCGCACTGTTGAACCTCGAATGCACACACATTTTTCGGGACATTTTTCCTGAGAGCGTACACTAATACACAATAAAATCACCATCCACAATGAACACCGCCACTTCATGGTTTCCCCAAACTTTTATAACTCTCTGAAATCTGAACAAACTTTTCTTTTCTTTTACGATACAGTGTCTCCCCCCTTCAGCTGATCGATATCGGAATACACAGTGTTGACATTTTTCTATTGGAGCGCACGTTATGCGAGGATAATACCGTCCGACCCACTCAAACACGCGTACTCTCTGTCAAATGAACTCGCATCTCGACGCTTTAATAGACAAGCATAAGATTACGTGGAGCGTCAGTGGATCATCACTTCCCTCCTGGGGGTGCCTCCTCTAACAGTGAGGAACAGATCATAGATCACGTGTACGATTCCACCTTTACTTTTGCAAGTAAAATGGTTCCGTGAAATTGAACAGTGCTTTGACCGTGCCTTCTGCTGTAAAAAAAGAAAAAAAGCGGCAAGTAGACCGTATAATTTGGTCTATGAGGTTTTGAGTCTATCTCAGAGAGAGGGGTGAGATTTGATTAAAGAGTCTTTTATATTTTAATTTTTGTATTTCTGAATACTTTAATCTACATTTTTAAGAGAAATTGTGCTCTGGAATGAAGTCTTGAAAAGCAACTAAACATACGTGGCGTTTTCCTCAGTTTGGAATTGGAATGTACAATAAGAACAGATGATACAAACAATCATGAGAAGAACAACTATGTTTATATTTATAGGTAAATTTTGACTTTCTTAATAATGTTTATAAAGTGATAAAAAAAAAAAATCGAGTAGATTTATAGTGGAGACGACGAAAAGGAAGAAAAATTGAACATCATATAGTCTACAATATCTTAATACTTCAGAGATTTTATTTACATGCATCATTTAAAACCAAAATAAGTCAGAAAGTATACATACAAATCCATCCATCAATTTTTTTTTTTTTTTTTTTTTTTTTTTTTTTTTTGTAGCAACGTAATAAATTCAAGATTTCTGGGTTAAATCCAATTTTTCTTTCAAATTATAAAAAGGATCAAGAAAAGAATTCAAAAGAGAATTGCTGAAAAAGAAACAAAGGACTTTCTAACCCATCCACCCCTTTCCAAATGATGCTTTGTTATTTTCTTATATCAATTTGAACAAGTCATTCTCTAAACCAATCTCTAGACCAAGTTGTTTCAACCTTTGTTAGATGTCACAATAGCTACCTCTCATGTCGTTGTAACCCCTCAGATGTGAACGATCGCAGGGGTTGGGGCAAACGTCGATATCCGCTACTATAGAGACACTTGAATTGAAGAAAAACATTAACGAACATTTACCGACACGGTCCTATCTAGGTAACATTTAATTAAACAGAAGGGATAGAAATTGGATCTTTGGTGAAAAGTCAGACGTGTGTCGACCCCAACTAAAAACTGGATTTCAAAAGAAATACATACCTAAATTTTCGCTTATCCTAATACCCGAGTACTGGATTTATATAATCTAATAACAAGCAAATGGGTCGTGTGGGTCCTGTTTTTCGGTTTTTAATAACGCTTAATTCTCAAGTACACTTGAGTGTTTGGATATCACTCCTGTTCAGTACATTTTTCATACAAGAGTCTAATTCAATTCAATTTGTTAATAAAGCCCGTTGCTTATATTTAAAACCAGATCGAATCTGTTACCCCCCCCCCTCCCAAAAAAAATCTACATGATCTGTGGAATGAGAGATGGAAGCGGGAAAAGAAGGTGTGTGAAGATATATATTGTCGTCATCGGCGACAATATGCACCCAACCCCCACTGCACATACTGTCGTTCATCGGCACATATACTGTCGACTCGGCTGAAAAATTATACATGTACATGTTGTCGCCGGCGACAATATGTGTCTATCCTCACTGCACATATTGTCGGCCAATGAATTTTGCTGAAGTTTTGAGAATGTAATTGGTGTGTAAATCACGCAGATCTTGTCACGTAGGCATGTTTTCTCTGTGTATATTGATATGCGAATTGCACGCAATTTAAATAAAAAATTATACCTTCAGTTTTCATGAGATTGCATGTTCAATGTAAAAAAAATCAGTGTTTTAACACACAGTTGTTTAACTGAATGCTTAGAGTCTTATGCAGCTGCATAAGATGCTATATTAAAAACACAAGAGGGAAAACGAAGCTTTCAGAATTATTAATTACTTTGTAAAGTACTAGTAACAAAAATGACCTTTGACAACCCCCTCCCCCCGGAAACCTTTGTAATATGGTACCACCAACACCATCCCACCCTCCGAAATAATTTTTTTTAAATATCTTTAGGGGTTGGGGCAAAATTTGCTTGTCAAAGTTTGTCGAGGTCCGAAACATGAGTTGGCGTGGAACCCCCAACCCCCCCCCCCCCCCCCGGAAAAAAATCCCTGTTCCGCGACCATTGCCCACGATTTTTATTTCAGATGATTTAGTCGTCATATATCGTTTCAGAGTATCTATGGCAATATTCTGTCTTTCATTCGATGACATATTTCAAGTTTCAGCCTAAAAAGATTTTATTTATTTCTAGTTAACTCTCCAACTCAAAGATATCAAACATGGATCCATTTTGGCATGTGTCCCCAGACATGGAATGCTATGCAAACAGTAATTGCAGTATCATTTGCCAAAACGATCTGCTCAAGACGTTTTTTTACATGCTCTACAATCAGTTCTTTATATCTGACAACGAGAAGGAATTTTTCTGTATATCTAGACGCATCAGGACAGACCATGGGGAGCGTTTCACATGTAGGTAGACATACGACATAGTGTGTTAATAGTCTAGCATCTCGTTATATGGAATCGTTCAGATATCATAGACACTTCGCATTGTGAAGACTTAAAATACTGTGAATATGTTCACAAATGCGTAAAAATACGTAATAAGCTACTTCTTAGGTTATTCAACCTTTTATCGTTGATGAAGAAAAGAAAAAAGTTGCATGAGGAATGTATGTTCAAATGCATAAAAACACTTAATAAGCTGCTTCTAAGGTTATTTAACCTTTATCATTTATGAACAAAAAAAGGTTGGGTTTTTGTGAATATCAGTGCTTGGGTAATGTACGATGAAACTGAAATATGAAGAGATCCGGTCATGAATTGCAAAAATGTAAAAATGTTACCTTACAAGCTACATTTCCAAGCATGTAGAATCGGGTAGGGGAGCGGTCTCTTTTTTTCGGAAATAATGCTTTGGTGTCAATTTAGAATGGAGATTTTCAATTGTAACGCCCACTCCCCCCTTTTTTTGCAAATACATATGAATGTTCAAACTCTCCCACGTTAACGTATCCAAGATTTAAAAAAAAATGTGAAAAAGACACCCCTCCCCTACCGAAACGAAATAGGTTCTTTGAACATTTTTGTTTTGCTTGTCAATTACCCCCCCCCCCCTTTTTTTCTTAAAAAAAAACAAAAAAAAACCCCGATGCTACATGCCTGATTTAGACCAACGCCGACTATAATTTATGTCCGATGAGAATCTTGAAATGAAACTCTTGGCATCCAAACAATTAAAAAAAAGAATACTCCTAAAAGGTAAGGGATGAAATGCCGTTTTACTGTCGAACCGTAACATTTTCAATTTGACGCCGCACAATTGTGTAAAAGCTCCTACTCAGCAAGACACGATCACTTTGATGGTTAATCTTATTACAGGCCCATCATATCCCTGGATTATCGCAGTCAGCCAATAGATTAAATCTTTATCAAAATCTGGAGAGAAAAAATCCTATGGAAATGAGATCTATCGTCTGCCCCCGTGACACTTAAAAAGAACTTTAATTTTCAAAGTTCAAGTACTTCTTTTCTCTACGTGGATATATTCATTGGGTCTGCCAATGTCTCGTTAAGTGTGTCTGTTTTGAAATCAACGCAGCATTCTAATAAACACTCGAGGACTATTTTGTTTTCCACTACAATTAAATGAAATATATAAATATGAAATTCGAATAGAAACGTGAAATTTTAGATTTGAAGTCCAAAGGCGCATAGCTATGGAAGAATGATGTATATGTATCTGGGAAAGAAGGGGGGGGGGGGCTTCAGTTCACCCGCGGGTACAGGATGGATACCTGGTAGGAAGTGGGGGAGGGGTGAAGCTCTTTAATTTTTTTTAAAGGTAAAATGAACGAATTTTTTGTTATTTTGTTTTGCTTTAGAGAGACGAAACTATTCCATCAATAGACAATAATTTTACTTTACATAAAACAATCCAGGTCAAGCATTCAACTATTATTTCATTTTCAAGATCTTTAAAGCTTTTTAAAAAGCGTTTGACAGCTATGTATGCCTGTATGTATCGTTAATATTCGGAATAATTTCTAGTACCTGAAATCTGATCTGTCTCTTTCGTACGTGTCAAAATACTGGTCTGTACTTTTTCCTCTTTGTAATATGAAAACAAAATGCACCAGAAAAACATTTTAGTGGATTTATTGCACTTCTTTGGTAACATACACAGTGAGAAATGTGAACTCCATCCAAATGCCTTAATTATATATTTCTGCAATACTTTACATCAATGCTGCCTTGAATAAAGAGAACGATAGCCAACATAGAGCAAGAAAGACAACTCTTACCTACAACAAATTAACTAACTAAAGAAATGAATTTCTTTTCGAGGAATTCATGCATCTATGAGATTCTTTGGACATTAAAATGCTCAGATTTGCTCTGATATGAGCTTTAATAAGCAATTAATTTCAGTTTCTTGTCAATTAATTAATGGAGAAAATAATCACTTCATGAAAAGCACATTAATACTTGCAATAAATACATGTATATATATAACAGCTAAAATCAGTACTGGAATGTTATTATAAAATCTTCATAACACAGTTTTTAACACACATACACAAAAAATTGTTATGTGATACATGTACGCATCACAATATAGTTAAAGAACTAACTCTCAACAAAGCACTTTACACTTTTCAAAAAAATCTTCATCGCTGAACATTAACACATTAATATCTAAGACACTATGAAAGAGGTAGAAAGGGGTATTCAAAAATTTCAAATTTAAAGTTCTACCGTACCATATACGGGAAATGTCTGTGGTTGAAATAACTGTAATTTGCACAATAATTCTACACTCACAATCTGATGTTTAGGCCTAATACCATTGAGGTAGAATCCCCCCCCCCCCTCATTTAAATCCAGGGAACTGGCTGGTCACACAAATTACCAAACAGATGCACCTAGAAATAAGAAATAGGATTTTTTTCTAGCCATAAACTATTATTTAGTAAAGAAAAGACCTCAATACTTCAAATATAATATCTAATGCAATTTCCTATATTTTTATACTTCAGGAGATTTATATAGCCTAAAAATGGCCATGACTACCTAGCCCTCTTAAACCCCATATTCCATAAAAATTGTAAAGCCACAGAAATTACTAATTATCCCTCCTCAATTCCACCTTACAAACTGGAATGACATACAACTTTTCAAAATAACAATTAATGGATTGTTTTACATGATGGAAAAATATTATACACTTGTTCAACAGTCATATTTTCTTCTAAAGATAACCAGCAATTTTTTAAAGCATACATATTTAAATCACAGCAATAATTTATATATGAGTACACACAAGTATGCATCTTCTCTGTTCTCAGTGAGCTTTGAACACATTAAAAAAAACATCTGTCAGCAAGGATATATGTTTTTAACATATACATATTCTTAAATTAAATGAGCATAAATTTGTAACAAATGAGACATTGAATTAAAATAAAAGCACCAAGAAAAAAAAATCAAACATTGACAATTTCATGGAACTCTCAGACTAGACAAACTGTTCCTCAGACTCTACAATAATTTTGTGGGGGGTGGAGGTACACTGAGGTGACCCCTCCACCCCTGTAATGTCATAATAAAGCTTTGAGCTGTCTGGGGTGGGTGGGGTTAAGGACTCATTGAGGTCGAGGTCATCGTCACCATTCCTCTGTGACTCTGCTTCATATCCACTGTCAGCGTTGTATTCGTGAAGGAGATCTTGCTGTTGTTCCAACACCTTTAGTGGATCCTCCGACTCGCAGGAAGTCGCTCGGCTCTTACCGTCAGAGTCTTCATCCTGAGTCTGCAAAAATTATTGTCACGTATTGATCCACATTAATTACAACTGACAAAAACTAGATCAAGAACCAAAATAATAAAGAAACTCAATAAATATAACTGAATCACATTTATAACTGTAAGCCACTACAAAAAACATATGTATCCAAGTTTAACTTGATGCATTTAGGCCTAGGTATTAGATGAGCTTACAAAGTTAAACATAAAAAATTACAAATTAAATATATTATTGAAAGCTGAAGGATGTGAGAAACAAGCGAGTCTAGCTAAAAGCTGAAAACATGAAAAGGGGCCATATGCTATGACTTAACTTGCTCTTTATCAGAAAGCCTTCCTTCCTATCGTGGCCCATTAAAACCACAAGTTATACGAAATGAGCATTTGAATCTACATATCAGAAGCTTTCATATTATTTGACAAGCTGATATCTTAAATTTTTACATTTTTGCTCCTGTTAGAGCTATAAGCTATGGCTGTAGCTCACACACTGAAGAAAAAGTATGACAAACAGGAATCTACCAGGTACACTTCAGATACTGCTTGCATTATGTTTTTGGTATTTTGCATATTTGAGAAGATTCAAGTCTTCTAACACAAGTTGATGCAAGAGAATTTTTTCAATGATTCAAGAATGTTCAGTTTCTGAATAATCTTAGTTGTATTTCAAGACGGAATGTCACACTAGAATAGAATGCTGACCTAAATAACTCGGTTGATTCTAGAAAAGTCTATAATGCTTGAGAGCCAATGAAGTAAGTGAAGGAAATCTTTGCAACATATCTCCATCACCTCTTGACATTTGATTAAATTTTTGAAAAATTGTTATTTTTCATTTCTCAGACCATGGACATATAAATACACATGATCTTCACATGCAGTTCTAACATTTTTAATGTTCACACTTAGCAGTTTATATACATACACTGTAAAACTTGTCTAAGCTGGACTCCACAGCTGACGTTTCACAGAAATTATCAGAGTTGTACAATTTCATTTCTTAAAAGGCACAAAATGATGTTTCCATTGTAATAGGCAAGATTTTTGAATATAAAATAATGGGATAAGACCAGTTTTAAATTACTGCAGCATATAACTAAATAATCATTTATCAAAAAAGACTGTAATAAAATCATATATGAAGTTTCTGCTTTGAGGGTATTTCAATAAATATATACCATGCTTTCATATTTTGTAAATAAAAGTTCAAAGTCTCAACTAAAACTAAAAAGACCCAACAAAAAAAAAAAAACAAAAAAAAAAAAAAAAAAACTTGCAATAGGAACTAACTATAGTGTTACTTTCATTGTGCTCTAGCTTTTCTGCATAAATAAGCAGGTTACCCATTCAAGTAAAAGTTATACCAATATATAAACATTTTTTTCCTACTTTTGATCAACAAAGTGTCAAAGTGTATGACTGTATAAAAAAAAATTAATTGATTCCTGGTCATAATAAACCACAATCCCAATGGAATATTAAGATGAAGATGAATTATTGCTTCAATGAAAGGATTAAGCTTGAGAATTAGTGCACAGGTACCCTTCTATTTAGAGTTTGTGCTGATACTTGACTTGTCAGGGATCCAAATTCATCTATTCTTTTTCATTAAGCATTGCAAAAGCATCTTTAATTGCCTCATACACTGTTGTGTTCTTTTTCTACAATAATTTGGCAAGCAAACCAAAGATGAAAGATTTATATATCTTTTTTCCCTTCTTAACATTTTTAACAACATGTATATAAGCATGCACACAGAAAATTTACAGTGACAAAAGAAACAAAAGAGTGATATCGATTCTTCACAAAAAATAAATTCTTGCAACATCATTATACAATGAAACTAAAATATAGAGATCAATATCAATTCACAGTGAGATGAGGAGAAACTCATTCTGATTTAAAACAAACAAAAGTTGACATAACAGACGAGACGAGAGAAAAAGTATTAGGTCACACAGAGAACTAAAATAGAGATCAATAGAGAAGTTAAAGATCTGCATATAGAGCCACCCGAGTCCTGTAACCAGAATTTGCTCTGTTGCAAGATGACTACAAAACATACAAACCTCATAAATAGTGTCATGGATTCCCTGGTGAATAAGAGATAAAGTCAAATTCTGCATAAAAATCAAGGTCTATTTTTCATTTACAGTGAGAAAATTGAGTGTTTGCTGGAATAAATTGCATATTTGCAACATCTTTTCCACACAACAATAAAAGCTAGTGATCCTGTTGATTGTGTGTATACAGCTCACTTATTTTAATCATAGGTTTTATCCATTTGCTGAGTTTTTTGTTGTTGTTGTTCTTGTTTTCTTTCTTTCTTTCTTTGTTTTTTTTTCTTGCCTAACTATAGCTCTTGAAAAAGTATTCAACAGAACACAGGAATAATGTTTTCTAGAGTTTAAAATGACAGATAAATATATTAGAGAAATAAATAATAAAATAAGATTAAGGAGAATTATAGTGAAATTTGGGGTGATACATCAGGTTAACCATAATGAGGAAGGACATAGATCATGCATATGCAAATCTATTCAAAATCATTGTGACACTAACATAAACAAACTAAATACACTTTAGGAACCAAAGGAAAGTTCGAGTTAGGTTTTCTGGGGACATATCATATAAGGAATTACTATATTCAGTGTCATCGTGAGAAAAAAACAATAATAATATGATAGATTTGTATGTATTCAAAATAATAGATAAAAGAGTTACAAAATACTGTTCTTAGGATTGACAGAAAGCTGTTAAATCTTGAAAATGAAGTTAAGACCTACGACCTGGTAAAAGCAGCTACCTACCATCGTGAGTGGGGTGTGGTCAACCAGTGGGTCCCACTCCAGATCCCCCTCTCCATGGGACTTTGGTTCTTCGTACTGATCTGGATCAGCACCAAGCTCTAAAATTCAAATTACAAGCTGAACTCAAAGACAAAGCAGAAGAGATGTGACGGACAAACATAGTACAGAAGCAAAATACCTGCATTATTAGATTTAGGACAATATAGACATACTGAAGCTTTGACTCAACATTAACAAGCTTAAAAAACTGGTGCATGACTGATCCAGTCAATATGTGCACTTAAAATATAATAAATATGATTTCTTTCGTTTGAGGAACGAATTAGACAGAAATCATTTTCTACTTGGTGTTTTAATGAATTACAAGGTTTTCATTCGAATACCTGGTTAATATCACATGGTTCTCGTTAGCAAAGCTATATAAGAGGTGAATAGTTGTTTAAATGCCAGTTTAGGACGACACGTAGAGCATGATAAAAGTTTACATTTTATCTATATTTATTCAATCCAACATTACTATATACATGTATATTATTATGGATTTTCATATTTTACATGGTATATGTACATTGTACAATAAAGCTGCTACGTGTTGTTGCTATGTCCAAATAGTGTGTTGTTGTCTATTGTACTTTCATTTGAAAGTAATGAATGGATTTAAAGATGTACAACACACTGGGGGAGATAACTCTTGCAATTTCAATTAAACGTTTAACTTGACGTCAAATTTGACGTTTATAATAAAGCGTCAAAATGACGACCGAATTGATCCCGACGTAATTAAAAGAAAATGGGATTAGGGACTTGATGTGGTTTCTTTAGAAATACCAAATCGTATCTTTGATTGTTTGCGCTTTTGATGTAAAACCCACCCCTCCTTCCATAAAAAGGAAGAAAAGAAAGATTATGTCTTAAAATTTCTTTAATTTTATAAGAAACTCATATCCGTTATCAATATTAGCAGAACAATATTCTTTATTTTTTTTATGATACATTGCTTTCTTTTGTTACAGTTGGCTATGTAACATTCGCATTACCAGATCACGGGCCTATCTTAAAATTAAGAATTAGCCATATAAATACTCTTTTGTTCTCCTTTTAAGAAAAAAAAGTTTTACGACCCGTTTCCAAAAGTTCACTGGTCAAAGAGGAACAACTCTAAAAATTTGGGAGATTTTCCCCTTCCCATCTTGAGTTATTTACTCCTGTTTGCCGATCAGTTATGAAGACACATTTACATGTACAATGAATTCTGATGAACTCGGGAACTGAAAACTATAATATATACTAAGTAAGTACCGAAAATGCAATAGAATTGTTTACTGAAATGGTCCGAATTAATGAGTATCTTATATGCGGCAAACTGGCCATATCCGACCATCTAGATCTACAATCTACCTCTGTAAACAATTTCAGTGCGCATTTCCTTGAATCAAAACAAAACGTTAATTTGATACATGAATATTTTGACACATGAATAATTTACTTTAATTTAATTAAACATAGATGAAGAATTTACAGTTTGATAAATTGAAGTTAATGTAGACGAATACGATATATTTCCATTTTATCTATGGAAGCAAAAGAAGGATGCATACAAGTGTGTGTGTGTGGGGGGGGGGTTTACTTTTAGACCCCTCTCTTGTTTGAAATAAATAAGAAACAATATATTCCATTTACCAGTCTGTTTACATCATAGAAGAGTTGAATTTTCAACATTGTGCGTTCACTTTTAATGAAAAATGAGATTAAAATTCAATGTAAGTTGAATTCATACGCAGGTATAAAATTAAATGCATTTCAGCCATGTGTATGGACTACATATTGGACACTGGAATTAAAATCCTTAGAGAATAAATTTTAATTTTATTCTAGTAGTTGATAGTTTAAGTTTTATTCTAGTTGTCAGAATTTTAATCTGCATGAATGAATGAATTGGTACTTCAGGGATTTAAAAGATAAAATATCAGTATATCTCGAGGTAACCTTTGTTTCATCAAGTTCTAATGACTGTGTCCAAAAAAAAAAAGGGGGGGGGGGGCTTCGTCAAAAATTGCCTATACATCTGCATTTCAATGAACTGAAAAGTTTTAAGAACTCCGATATATAATGTAAATAATTTTTTTTAAAGCAAAAAATATTTTCTAGCTTGGAATTTTTCATGTGTATTTGTAGATCTAACAATGTTTTCGTCCCACGTCTGAAAGACGCTTGAGAAACGTGACTGAAGGAGAAGGGGGGGTGGGGGGGGGTGGGGGGGGTGATTTTTCGCTATAAATTCAAAACGGCTAGTTTAAAAAAATTACAAAAAATCATCAAGATTACTTTTGCAACCAGTTACATGAAAAAAGTATTTTTTCCAAAATTAAACGATAGGTTTTTTCATAAAAAAATATTTAAATTAAAAAATACGCACTTTTTAAGGCTTAAATGAACCATAGTTTTTCAGTTTAAGTTCTTCAAAAAATATTTTGTCAATGAGTACCTCTACAAAAATACTTTAATTGAGTGGATAATGGTTATATGAATGACTTGATGAAATTTGATGGCCAGACTAGCTCAACTTTTTTGATAATCAAGGATTTTATAGCCAGCCGAATGAAAATTTCTTCTCCGCATGTACAACCAAAGGGGGGTAACTATTGGAACTTCCTGTCCAAATACGACTCGAACGATTTTGTCCAAAATGTGCATACGCATTGTATATAAAGTCATGTGTAACATATACAAAAATAGCGAAAATTAAACGACAGGAAATTTTTCGTGGTGGGTGTGTTGTACGTCCTTAAAGTAGAACCGAGTGGCCTTGATCCATGGCCACAAGTAGGTACTGGAAATAACATCCATTGCAACAATTAATGTCACTATGTGGAGTTTTATCCAAAAGATTGTTTGGAACCCGTGGCAAGAGAGCCAGATAAATCAGTCCTTTATTTAGACACTGCCTTCAGTGTACAGACCTTTTGCTCTTTGTTGCCTCTCCATTTCCTCTAGTACTTCTGATATAGAGGAAGCAGGTCTGTTCTTTTTACGGTTGTACACAGGGTACTTTGTGCTGTCATCTGGTAGGAATGTGGTTTGCACTGGATATTCCAAGTTTCTCACATCTGCAGGTAACTAAATAAATAACAACACTGAATGAAAATCTAAAGAAAATCTTACAATCTCTGCTGGTGTGTTTGTGTCTAAATCCTTGATTGGCATGGGTTCAGCCTTTAGTGTGTTGTTTCATATGACCTAAAAGTGTTTCATAATCTTGAGGTCATCATCTATCAAAGTTCAAGGTCACTGGACCCATAGTGAAAAAATTTAAATTTGCATGTACTGTGAAAAGGAGGGAGAAAAATGCAACAGATCAGACCAGGACTCGAACCAAGCCTCCCTGAATCACTAGTCAGGTGCTTTACCAAATGAGCTTAATCAAACCATGGAACCTGCCTGACTGCCACATGTTTTGTTGCTGATGATCAAAAGATAATTCATGACCCTGTTCTAGGATTATATCTCAAGAGGCCTGGACACAGTTGCATTGCCGTTTTGATTACAATTTTAAAAATTCTAATTTTTTTCAAAAAATTACTTCAATTTGATGAACTGAAATTACATAAAAAATTCTTAAAATTCAATGACAACAACATTCTTCATAACATTATGTCAAACATCCGTGTTTGTAAACATCGGCACAAGAGCTGTATTGTTAATATTAAAATTTTATCAGTTGTGTTCAATCAAACAGGTACGTAGTTTTAATAATTTTCAAATAAAAAAAGTATCGAACCATGCTTTTCTAATATATCGGTCTGAAATACTCTAGCAACATGTAAGTCATGATATTTTACTGAAATTTTTTTTAGAAAACATTAACTTCAAATCTGTATCCAAGGCCCATTAAGGATCATTTGAATGTGAGATACTGAAACTGAATCAAGGCCAGTAGTGTTGGAATTAATCCAAACTCAAGTATTTTATTACTGATGAAGAAATCATATTCCAGGACCTCAACTCAATGTCATATTCAAATGTCATTGTCACTGGGCATTGTGATGTTGAAATCAAATTATGAACAATCACTGGTTAATCAATTCACTCATTTAAGTTATTCTATTAAATTTGTTTGCTATATATCACTTACTGTGTTAACTTTTCCTGGGAGAATTCCATTTTGTTTCTTTTTACTTGCTACAAAAAAAAATGGTATAAATATTAATATTTATGCTTATATGAAAGTATGCTGTTGATAAAAAAACAATAATTTTTTTTCCCCCCATACTTACATCCTAATGTAGCCGACACCATGCTGAATTCATCCCATGTGGCGATATGAATATCTTTTTTAGGGGGAGGTGGAGCAGGGCTGTAAGTCTCCATGGTATGGTTTAGCGGCTCCTTTAGCTCAAAGTCATCAAAGTATTTCTTGCGGACGTCATACGTGACGTAACGAGTGCGCATGCGCCTCATGACAATGGCAATCAGAATGGCTATAAGACACAGTAGAGCCACCAACGTGGAAACTATCACTGGAAAATAAAATCACCGTACAATTAAAAACTCAGTTAAAAGACAACTTTATTTTTGGACTTCCAGATTAAATATTTGTCATCATGACTTTACTGTGTGTTCTCATGACCAAAACTTACAAGACTGTTATCAAAACTCAAAAGGCTTTCCGTCTGAATTATTGACAAAGAGTTGCCCCCCTTTTTATAAATTCCTTTATCTACAATTTTATGTACATTACATTGATAAATACTGCAAAAATTCAAAACCAGTTTAAATTCTCTTACATATGGTCATTGACGAGACATTTTCTGTGGTGATTTTTCCCACTAACAGAGTTATATTTCTAGGTTCCTCATCGGTGGTTAGGAGGTATACCGCAGTGGTAACAACGGCTGTTGTGGTGGCGGTAGAAGTGGTTGTGGTAGGTGGTAGAGGAGTTGTTCCATTGTTTCCAATTCCAATAATGTAAAAATTGGGGCTTCCTACATCCCAAGGTGGCATTGTAATACCAGACTGATTGAAACAAAAGACATTTATCATTTTAAGTTCATAGTTTTGAAAAAAAAAAAATACTGTTAATAACTGTAAAACCTACTATAGTAAATCTTGCTGATAAGGAAGTCCTTCAGACACAATTTTTAAAATTTCTTATAATAGAAAATCTTTATATCCATATAAGAAAGTGTTACAATATGTAATGTGGGGAAAAGATATAACTTCCCTTTAATCAAAATTTCCCTTATATCTGAGTTCCACATAAGCGTGTTTTACTGTAATCACTCTTAGTCAATAACCAAGGCAGTCTTTAAAATATCCCAACAGCCATCGGGTTCAACATCTCTACTACACAAATCAATGCAAAAGAATGTGAACTAACCAATGGATTAGCTGTGGTAGTAGGTACATTTACTGTGGATGTTGTGGTCACTGAATGGTCATCATAATCTACAGGTGAGCATTGGGGAACTTGTGGCCCATACACAGTCAAGGAGCCATTTTTTAGGTCCCTAAGCTGTTTCAATGGCTGTACTTCAAAGGAGTCTCCTCTCACTGGTTTATAATTTACATCTGAAAATGCCAAACTTATGTCATGTGTTGTAGAATATTTACAGCTGGTTTCACTCTACAAAGAATTATAATGATTTATATATACTGCAATTTTCCTTCAATAATATATCTCTCTCCTTCTTGATCTCTCGAAGTACGTCTCCAGTCCTGACTTTTTCTCCTTTATAACTTTACAAATTTCACTCCTGATTTCTCAATCTCTTGAAACCTTTGATCTCTCAGAGTTAAAATTTGCGAGGCACTTGTTGTTTTCTCCTGAATAAGCACTGAAATATGGTGACCTCTTACCCAGAATAAATGTGACATCATTGTTAAATTAACATGTATAATTTTAGTGAGCATTATCAAACATTAGCCAACATCTTGTTCCACAATTTTTTTAATTCAAGAGACGCTTTGCAACCCTTGCCTTTCGAAAATTAAAAAAAATTAAGAAACTCGAGTTTGAGAAAAAAACAGTTACTAACAGGCACTGGTTATAGAACCTACATATAATTTGTTCATTTAGATTACAACATTCCAAACTTTTTCATCAAGTGGAAGATCAAGTAAGTTATCAAATTTAATAACTGACCAGCACTGGCCAGGGAAAAAGGCCTGGAGTTCCCTGCAGTATACAATATGTTCTGATTTCAGCTGATCATCCTGTGTCAGCAAGCAGTGACACTCAAACAGCTGATACAGGCCAAAATTACAACATTGATTCCCCACCCCTCCCTGTGGCCTGTTTTCTATAAATACCTGATATACATCCAGTGAAGTTCACTGTCAGGTTGGGGTTTCCATATTTTGGCTCCATCATTTCAGTCAAACTGGGAATCAGTCCACCAACCAATAAAGTATCCATGTCCTCTAATTGTGTACTTGTTGTGAATTTCTTCCTCCACGGGGATCGGTCCACCTGTATTACAAGTGAATACATAGGGATGATTATGTGACATCTTTGCATACAATTCAGCAGTTCAATAACATTCCTCTATTTTCTATCAGACTCCGGTATACTGTATGTGTTATTATACATAAAGAAACCAAATAGCCATGTATAATGTACATTTATAGTTAAATCTGAAATACTAGTAACCCATCATGATTGGGCACTGTTAGTATTATAATAGCACATACCATATGTCAAGAAAAGAAGAAAAAAAAAAGATTCATGCACACTGAACATAAATTCTCCCACCTACAAGATAAATACCTTGAAAAACAAAAACAATACGGAGGATAAAGACATACACTGATGACATCCCTTAAATACATAGAAGATAGATATTCCGTGTTTTGTAGTTGGACATGGAACTTATTTCACAAGTGGGGCAGGATTTTTTTTTTATATTTTCAGAAGTGCAAATCACAAGAGAAAATATATAAAAAATCTTGTTTCACGAGTGAAATGAATTCCATATCCAACTACAATACATTGAATTATCTGTTTATTACACTTTCTTTTTCCTTTTTGCCTTTTTTTTGTAACGCAGTATCGTAGTCATTAACATCATAGTTGAGCGGTTGTGAGATGTCATAGCCAAGGGATTATGAGATAGAAAATTGTAAATATGGATATTATTAACAACAATTTGGAGAAACTTTGGCAGATTTAGTCTGGTCTGTATCATGATGGTTTATTTTACTCTAACTATAATCTCATTTTATTTTATAACAAACACTCTTCATGAAGAGAATGAAAATCTCAAGTTTTGCCACACTGGATAAATATCACTTTCAAAAATATCACTTTAATTACAGTATTTCAGTGTTGAAAATGTAATAAATACATGTATAGCAGTGAGTTATTCTGTATATATATAAGTGATAAACAAAACAGTGATCATCTGATTCCTGAAAAACCAACATAAAACATTAAAGAGCAATTTTCCGTACTAAATAGAAAATCTTGCCACCTCTCAGTTAGCAAATTTCATATGCTCTTAGCATGCAGCTTTATTCTTTTCACATATTTCTGGGATTTTAACTGAGTCATTAGAAGGAATTCTTATATCTTCCTCACTATGCAAAAGAATGTCCATTACAACACAACATAGATTTTTAACCCAAATTAAATAAGTGTAGCATATAGCTAAAAAGTATAAAGATAAAAAAAATTACCATACTATGTGAAAAAAGAATGAAACAATCTGATGGATTACAATCACACCTAAATACTATACCAGTACTTGTATATATGCAAATAAAAAAAATATAAAAGGACAGTGACTTGGAACCTATATTCTCACCATGCACTACAAAATACAATGCAATTTACTTACACTATGAATTTCTGCAGCCTGTATATCAATAAATTTCATGACAGTATTTTCAAAATTTCTGTGTTTATTTTGAATTAGCAATTACCTTACAGTATTAGCTACTTGAAAATCTTTGTTAAATTTTCAGCTTTTAAAAGAAAAATTAGATTTGTTAAATGACCTACCCTTATCCACATTTCCTCATTCTCCCTTTTGTATTCAAATTTGTGAGCTGTCCCATCACAGAAAGATCCCTTCAGTTTCTCTTCAACTGTGAAATTACAATCAATAATTAATATTGTTTAAAGATGAAATGTCTGACCTATAAACTTTTTACTTTTCAAATTGTATGATAACGTCAAAACCTTATAAAAATAAAAGCTTATGTAAATCTGATTTTGCAATGAAATGTACATGTTGCAAAATCTTAGGGAAAATTTTAGACACAGCAACAGATACCATACCGAGGTAGTCATGATACTTTGCTTTTTGATACTACATGTATTAGGTTTAATTCTATCATTGGAGTTAAACTGAAGAGCAGAAATTCCTGTACTTTAATGACTTACACAAATTGTTCCCTTGTTTCAACAGAGCTCTGACAAATTTGTTACTCAGTGAGATGACAATGTAGTCTTTCCTGAAATACACCAAAACAAATATAAAGGAAATTCCATAAAATGTGCATCCCAGATCTCTTTACTCAATGTAAACAAGTTTCTCAAGTTACTTTTCAGGGAGTCCACACAGTTTGTCTGGTTTTACCTTTCCTTACTGAATATCAGTAAGAGAACCATGGTTTTGCCTTCTGTACAGTTGGTCTTGAAGATGAATGAGAATTGTTCTGTGTTTGTTCTGGCTGCCTGACCAGAGGGAGTGAAGTGATAATGAACACCTGACTGTCCACTGAAAATTCCGGAAGCCTCTGTAAATAGACATAAACAATAGATTCACAAACACAATAGACATATACAGTCAATCTTGTTACACAGGCAAGAGTGGCTCACATAAATTTTGTAACAATATTTGATCGGGTTCGATGTTCAATTTATGCTTACAATTTACGCCATGCTTGTTTACATGTTCTAATAAATGTAGTCTAGTTGAAACTGACTTTTCCATTACGCCACACGGCAGCAGCTTCTTACATGGTGTCAGAAGTGTCGGACCATTATTAGTGAGTACGGGGATTGAAAATATTGTGTAACCAGCCACAATTAGAGACAAATTGCCATTTTCCTTTGTTATTGTTCGAGAGCGCGCCAAAATCGACAACAATGGAAAACGTACTTCATCCGCCCGAAACAATGGATTTCGATGCTAAAAATCTTTCTCAGACCTGGAAGAAATGGAAGGAAGAGGTGTTACTCTACATAGATATCAGCATGGAGAAAAAACCAGAGCCACAAAAGGTGAAACTCTTGCTGTATCTTCTGGGACGCAAGGGGAGAGAAATCCATAGCACGATGCAGTTTCAAACTACCGATGAGCATGGGAACAAAGTGAATATGGAAGAGAAAAATATTACTGTAAAACTCATCCTCGCAGAATTTGACAAACACTGTGATCCCAAGAAAAACGAAACAGTCGAGAGGTACAAATTCTACAGTCGAAACCAGCAGACAGGTGACACATTTGACAAATTCTTAGCAGAAGTTAGAATTTTGGCTGACACTTGTAACTTTGGAACTCTCAAAGACTCAATGATAAGAGACCGAATTGTTTGTGGCGTAAGTGATTCTGGGCTGCGAGAAAGGCTTCTACGTGTGACCGATTTAGACTTGGAGAAATGCATTCATGTGTGTAGAGCCACTGAAGTTTCCAAGGAGCAGAACAAGGAAATTCAACCACAGGCTGCAGGAATATCTGTGCATGCAGTCAACTCGCACAAGAAGAGCTTCAAGAAACAGCCACAAAAGTCCCAGAAACCACAGCAACAGGTACAAGCGAGACAAGAACCTAGTCAATGCAAGTACTGTGGAAGTCGCCATGCCAAAGGAAAGCGAAATTGCAAAGCCTATGGCCATCAGTGCAGGAAGTGTCGCAAACTTCATCACTTTGAAAATGTCTGCAATTCCGCCAAGTCAACAGTCCATCAAATCCAAGAGAGTGCCGAATCAGACTCTGATGATTACTTTTCTATATATAGTGTAGATCTCAAAAACAACAGCGAGTCAGTAAATGCAATTAACCAAGTTTCTGCAAACAAGGTATTTGCCACCTTGTCGGTCAACGGACAGTACGTGAAATTTCAAGTGGACAGTGGGGCGACCTGCAACATACTCCCAAGAAAGTATTTGACAGATAACAATGCAATCACAGAGACAGACCAAATACTCAGCATGTATAACAACACGACAATCAAACCTCTGGGCAAGTGCAACCTAAAATTCAAAAATCCTAAGAACGGAGGAAAATACAAAGCAGATTTCGTCATACTGGATGGCTCGTGTCAACCAATACTTGGTTCCAAAGCTTCACAAGCCTTGAAATTGATCACGGTCGAGAACGAAAACATCCTTGAAATCAATGTGAGAAAACAACCTTTGACAAAGGAGAACATTTGCAGAGAATACCATGATGTGTTTACTGGCCTAGGACACCTGAAAGGAGATTACAGCCTCCAGATTGATCCGAGTGTCAAACCAGTTGTTCATGCTCCACGGAAAGTTCCACTCGCAATCAAGAATGACTTAGAAAAGGAACTGGAGAGACTCGTACAACTGGAAATTCTAGCCAAAGTTACTGAGCCTACACCTTGGGTCTCCAGCTTGGTTGTAGCAAGGAAGCCAAGTGGAAAACTCAGAGTCTGCATAGACCCCCAAGACCTGAACAAGGGACTGCAGCGAGCGCACTACCCTATGCCTACAATAGAGGACATCTTGCCAGATTTGTCAGATGCCAAATGCTTCAGCGTCCTAGATGCCAAAGATGGCTTTTGGCATGTTCGTCTGGACTACGAAAGCTCTCTTATGACTACTTTTAACAGTCCGTTTGGCAGATTCCGCTGGCTCCGCATGCCATTCGGTATCAACACTGCGCCAGAGGAATTTCAGCGTCGCCAGCATCAAGCACTGGAAGGACTACCTGGAGTCAAGAGTATACATGATGACATACTGGTGTTTGGAGAAGGAAACACAGAAGCAGAAGCGCAAGAGGATCACGACAGAAACTTTGTCAGACTCATGATGAGATGTAGAGAACAGCAGCTCAAACTCAATAAGGACAAGATGAAATTTCGACAGTCAGAAGTAAAATTCATAGGCCACACGATCACTAATAAAGGACTCAAGGCAGACCCCGAAAAGGTCAAAGCAGTCCTGGATATGCCAAATCCAACTGACGTAGCAGGAGTCCGACGATTTATTGGATTTGTGACATATTTAGCAAAATTCTTACCAAAGCTTAGTGACATCTGCGAGCCGCTGCGTAAGTTAACACAGAAAGATATTGAATGGCACTGGACCCCACAACATGACGAAGCTGTAAAACAAGTGAAAAATCTAGTCACAGCAGATCCTGTGTTACAGTACTTCAATCCAGAAAAGGCACTAACACTACAATGCGACGCCTCGGAGAAAGGACTTGGAGCAGCTTTGTTGCAAGAGGACAAGCCGATTGCCTTTGCCAGCCGTGCCCTGACTGAAACTGAAACCCGCTACGCACAAATAGAAAAGGAGCTTCTAGCAGTGATATTCGGGCTTGAACGTTTCAATGTTTACACATTTGGGAGACCAGTATCTGTCCAATCAGATCACAAACCTTTGGAGATGATTGTGAATAAGCCTCTTTACAAAGCGCCAAAGCGTCTCCAGAGCATGCTGCTCAGGATGCAAAAGTATGAAGTAAATCTTAAGTACCGTCCTGGAAAGAACATGGAGCTAGCGGATACCTTAAGTCGTGCGTATCTGCCCAATGAGAAACCATCAAAGGCGGAGTCAGTAGTAGAAGCGATAAATATGCTACAATTCCTGCCAATTGCACCAAACCGTTTGAAAGTCATTCAGGACGAAACTGCAAAGGATAATACCCTGCAAAATTTAGGCGCATCCATCAGAAATGGGTGGCCAGACTGCAAAACCTTAGTTCCAGAACTCATAGTTCCCTACTTTGAGATCAGAGATGAGCTGTCTATCCAAAATGGAGTCATTTTTAAAGGAGACAGAGCAGTTATTCCACAAGCACTACGCAAGGATATGCTGACAAGGATACATTCATCACACCTTGGAATCGAGGGATGCCTACGACGAGCCAGAGAATCTGTATACTGGCCACAAATGAACGCTGAAGTTAAGGACTTCATACAAAAGTGTGAAACATGCCGCACTTTTGACAACAACCAAGGAAAAGAACCTCTACAACATCACGAGGTACCACCACGTCCCTGGGCAAAGCTTGGACTTGACATCTTCACTTTCGACCAACGTAACTACTTGATAGTAACTGATTACTTCTCAAACTTCTTCGAGATTGATGCCTTGGACAGAATGACATCCCATGAGATCATCAAACGACTACGAGCACAATTCGCGAGACATGGAATACCAGACCTGTGTGTGTCGGACAACGGTCCTCAATTTGCCTCCGAAGAATTTGCTAAGTTTGCCCAACTGTGGGAATTCCAACACGTAACATCTTCACCACACTACCCACAAAGCAATGGGAAAGCCGAACAAGCAGTGAAAGTTGCCAAACAAATTCTAAAGAAAGCAAAACATGCAAAATCTGATCCTTACCTTGCATTGTTGGATTTCAGGAACACACCTACACAGCATGTGGGAACCAGTCCAGTCATGAGACTTATGGGAAGGAGAACAAAAACACTACTACCCACGAAAGGAAAGTTATTACAGCCGAAAGATGCACCATTTGAGAAAGAGAAGATCGACAATGCCAAACAAAAACAAGCAGAGTATTACAACAGATCTGCACACCCATTATCGCAACTATCAGTTGGAGAGACTGTCCGAGTCAAAACCCCTAATAGACCATGGGAGAAAGGAACGGTTACGGAAGCAATACCAGAAAGGAGATCATACAAGGTAACGACCGAGGCCGGAGCAAACTATACGAGAAACAGAAAACATTTGCGTAAATCAAATGAATTGCCGGTGTCAAGAGACATTCCATGTGATCTTCCGTGTGAGACAAATGAGGCCAAGGAAGTGGCACCCGATGTTCCAAAGCCAGTAACTGACCCTAAGAACACCGTTACCCGTTCTGGACGTGAAGTGAAACCGCCGGTTAAATACAATGACTATGTTATATCATGATTTGTTGATAGACATTTAACTTGAGTAGATGCCAAGATAATTTTGTTTAGTGTAGCTAGGAACGCTTTATTCATTTCATCGATGTTGCATTTTACATGTTTGCATATAATACTCATAGTCCAATTTCTAGTCATATTGTTATTTTATTGCTAGTCAGTTCAGTAAAGCAGTACAGATGTTTTGATTCTAGTCACTTTTAAGCATAATATAAAATTTATTCATTGTCCATACTATTCTTACTAAAGAAAAGGGGATGTAACAATATTTGATCGGGTTCGATGTTCAATTTATGCTTACAATTTACGCCATGCTTGTTTACATGTTCTAATAAATGTAGTCTAGTTGAAACTGACTTTTCCATTACGCCACACGGCAGCAGCTTCTTACAAATTTCATACGAAATTCACATGAATTTAGTGTGAATTCTTCGCATTAAAAAAAGACAAAAAACAAATCACATGAAATTTATGCAAAAACTTCATGTGATTTTGACATAATTTTCTTATGAATTTCATATGATTTAAAATTCACACAATATTCATGCGAAAATTTTTATGCACATTCATTGGATGAATTTGATTCATTGAAATCCAACCAAACTGATAGTGAACAGCATTTTGAAAAATTGTATATTGAGAAAAAGATAGATGAGGAACACTTTTTGATAGCTTGAATTAAAACAAAAAACCTCCAGCAGACATTTATTAACACTGGATTCTGCAACAATTCTCAATCTGACAACACAGTATTCTTACCCAGCTGACAACGTTCTCCAGCAAATTTACTTCTGGAGCAATCACATTCATAATCTCCATCTCCCCATCTCTCTATACAGTATCCACCATTTAAACACCAGTTCTTTGTGCAGCCTGCCTTACATCCTTTCTTTAAACCTGTATTGAAAATATTTCTCCACTTCAGAAATCTGACATTTTTTTTTCTTACACAGAATATAAACAGAAATTCTGTTTCTTTTTCCAACACCTGTCCTTTCAATAATTAGTCTTTTACATACCAAAAAACCACAAACTTGTATGATTGTCAATTAATTTAAAAAAAATAAATCAGCTCGCACGTGAACAACTGGGCCCTTTCACAAAAGAACTTACAACAAAGACCGAAATATGATTTCAGTTTATTCCCTTTTACATCAAGGGCAGATCACTCAAACTGAAAAAAAAACTACCATGGAATGCACTCTTAAATGAGCAGTGTTTAGAACTTCCTTAACATTAATTTGAAAAATGTATACAATATAATTGTAAAAGAATTTGGAAATATATTTTTAGAGAGCAGTTTTTACAGAAACATCTAAAGTTGTTTGTCTTAGTTGTAAGTTCTTTTGTAAAATGAGCCCAAAAAGATTACCCACCTGTATTGCTTTCTGAGTTCTTTTGAAGATCAATAAGACGATCCCCTATTTTGAAACCCCTCATACAACCCTGAAACTTGTCCAATTCAGTTACATTGGCGGGAGTTCCACCTAAGTAGATTCTTAGAAAAGGAGGCTGTTTCTCTTTCATTCTGGTAGGCTTGACAGTTTCCACTAAAACATATTGGGAAATATGCTAATGATTTCTGAATCATACAGACAGTAACTTATTAATCATAATCCTGTCTAACTTTCACAAGTACACATTACAGAATTTTAATTGTGCTTGAATTGTGTGTTTGCTAAGTAAATCCATTATGTGCCCGCTATCCTTACCTTCATTAGCAAATGGATTGCTGCTATAACCAGACTCCAGTTTATTGTTTGCAAGGTTCAGGTACGTGATTTTTCCATCAATATTTATCTTTGAGGGATCCAGAACAACTTGTTTCCATGTTGGTTCAGTGATTCCTGAAAAAAGCATTGCATTCAAAGTTAGTCATCAAAGCGGACCATTAAATTATTTTGTTTCCTTCATTGTATGGTTTAGAACACCTCTGCACACTATTTATGCAATGAATCCTACATATTTAATGTTTGAATTCTGACTAAAAAAATCTTCATTGATTTAATGGAGACTGTTTCTCTGAACTGTGTCACTGAAATAACATTCTTTATAAAACGTGTTTCCTTCATATTGATTTACACAACATGTACACTTGGTCAGAAGATGAAAGACATAAATCAGAGGTCTCTCATAAAATACACAAATCACATACCTATGAAGATTAACAGGAGTGCATACCTGTGAAGATTTACAGAACATACCCATGAAGGCTAACAGGAATACATACCTGTGAAGATTTACATGAGTACGTACCTGTGAAAATTTACAGGAGTACATACCTGTGAAGATTTACAGGAGTACACACCTTTGAGGACTTACAGGAGTACATACCTTTGAAGATTTACAGGAGTACATACCTGACCATTTACAGGAGTATATATATCTTTGAGAATTTACAGAACATACCTGTGAGGATTTACAGAGTACATACCTGTGAAGATTTACACGAGTACTATGAGGATTTACAGGAGTACATACCTGTGAAGATTTAAAGGAGTACATACCTGGAACTTCTATGTCTGTGTAGAAGATCTGTCGGAAGTTATTCCTGCTGAAACGTAACTTCTTGCCCTCCACCACCTCCAACTGAATGAAGTTGTTCAGTTCATCATACATGTAGAAGATAAGGGCCTCCCTCACCTGTGTGTGGAAGCTAAAGATTATCCTGTTCTCCATTTCCAGGGGATTAGAGCTGATCCTCAAGTCAAAATATGCTGCCTGCTCACCAGTTATGGTTACTACATTTTCATTTATATCTGAAATGGTGATTTGATATCACTTGTACTAGTTTTACTCAACAATCTTCATGCATTACAATATTACTATTCAGCTTTAAATATTTTCTCTAAAAATTATTTCTTTTTACCAATTTGACATACATGTGTTTGCACCTTGATAAACTAATATTCATCGCTCTACCTGCTTTATTCATTTTAGTTGCATTTCATTACATCATTTATTACGACAAATACTATGCAGACACTATTAAAATTCTTTTGTATTTTAATAGGAAGACTTACTGATCTCACAGCTGTGGCCTGAGTGAGCCCATTTGTTAGTACACGTGCACTGATAATCATTCCACTTCTCCACACAATGTCCTCCATTCTGACAGGGATCAGGTGAGCAGTGAGGCCTACATCCACTCTGTATACCTAGCATGCTGGAAATTGAGAAACATATATACTGCAAACTGACAATACAGTCGTAAAGGTCAAATCTCATAACTGAACCACATTTATAGAATTTTATTTAAACTCTATTTATCCTAATACTTCAACATCATAGAGGATTATATGGCAATATTTATTGACCAAATGATTCCATTTTGTAGGAGATATGGAACAATTACGTCCATACAAAAGACAGAGAAAAAGCAAAAATTGTACAATATTTGTATTTGTTTAATTTTCTGTTAGTTTGAGCTACATTAATTTTGCACTGTAGTCTTATCTTTATCAAAGAATTCTAAAATCAACAACATAGTTATAAAAATCCTACGAAAAGGTTCTCTCTTTCCTAGATAACCTAGTAAGGCTTTAACAACAATAATTATAAGAGACATACTCATCGTATACATCATGGATGAGGTTCCGAGGTCTGCCATTATACACTAGTCCTTTTACACAGCCAGTTAATCCAGGCAAGTTCTCATAGGATTCACTACTAAATCAAACAAATCAAAATTACAGGTAAAATTATCCGATGTTACCATAAAGTAAAGCATATTATAAACCTGACATGGAGAAGGCATTTCATTGATGTGATGGTTAGGGCTGGGACGATATATCGAGATATCGATAATATCGATTCAATGTGAGGATGATACGCATATCGATGCGTATGAAGAAATATCGACATATTGTAAAGAAATTTCTGACTTGTGTTTTTCTTTGTTTACTTAACATTTTGGGTTAAATATATATAATAAATAGGCTAAATATAAACATGAAATACATAATTAATACCACTTGGGTAAAATGATTTTGTTTTACAACAGATACACAACTTCTCTGAATAAATTATTCTTATTTGTGAAGAAATGTTTCATTCATTTCACTCCAAAAAATATTTTATAACCAATTCAACATATCGTGATACATATCGTATCGTGGCTCAAATATCGTGATACATATCGATATAGGAAAAGCTGTATCGTCCCAGCCCTAGTGATGGTAGAAGCCAAGCCATCACAATCAAGGCTACAGACTACAATACTGTGTATCTAATTATCATTAGTAATGCACTGTTAGAACCATATGCTCCCATTACCTTTGAAGAAGGTGAGTGGGAAGAGAGGGAGAAGAAAAGGGGAGTAAAACATGGAAGAGCAAGAATTCAAGACCAATTTAAAGTTGTGAGAATGCAACAAAACAAGGCTTTTGCACATAAGATCCCTCAACTACCATTCCATTGCATTTGTGCCCTTCATTTCTTCCCCCCCCCCCAACCTAAGATAGGGAGGCAGTGGCTAGTTTGTGGCCCTAAGAGTGGATGTAATGTTACTCGGAAATTCTGCACATAACAGATGATGAGACAGCCATGTTGGGAGTACTTTGCATTAAATAAGTGAGAAAGAATTTTCTATACCCAAGATTTCACGTCCTTCATTAATAAAATATGCTGGCATTGAGAAACTAGAGGCCCATGGGCCACAATGATCACCTGAGTCACCTTTCTCAGAATAGTGGCCCAACTATACCTCCAGGGGCCATGATTTGAACATTCTTGAATCTATATACCCTGAGGATGCTTGAACAATTATTAACTAGACTTTGACCCGTGCGTGCACGGGTTGACATTGTTATGAATGCATCCATGTGCATATATCGGACATTTACAAAATAGATACATCGACACATTCATATATTGTAAGGTACTTTTGAAATAAACAATGAAAGTGAATATAATTCTGTTTTTTTTTTTTTTTTGCTTTTTTTTTGTTTTTGTTTTTGTTTTTTTTGCAAAATTGTTGCGTAACGGCGTAGCGCAGAATGGGTTTGACCCCCATTTAGCTATAAATCAAGTCATGAGTTCGAATCACTCCGGAGCTTACATAAATTTCACCTTTCCAAACAGATTTAATAAAAGAAATTATGGATATTTATTGAAAATATGACAACAACAAAGAGTTGAGCACTGCTGATACATATCAAGCAAAGTAATGAAAATGAAGAAATGTATTTAGCTGGTACTTTTACACAATTAGTTATTAAACTAAAGGTGTAAAAAAATTTGTAACAATTTTAACACTGCAGGTCTCAACTTGTTCAAAATATGACCTCAACAATAAAAGAGTTATTAAGCACTGCTAATACATATATTCTATATATACACAGGTAATAGACATGTATATAATCTGTAAAGGCAGAAATGAAAATGGACAAATGTGCTATACTGGTATTTCTACACAATTTAGCAGATGTGAAGCAGAACAGATTATCTTGCAAATAACCCCCCCCCCCCCCCCCCCAAAAAAAACATGCTGGTTGTTCAAGAGATCATAATAAAAATTAATAATATCAGGTGTATTTTTTCTTGTGGCGATTTAATAAAACATAGGTTTGTTTGCTACGATTAAATATAATTCATTTCATCATTGAATAAATATTTTTACGATCTTAATTTTGTCCCACCTCATAGTTTTGAGAAAAACTATGCATGGATTAAATTTTACAAACAATCGATATTTTAGTAGCATTGATAGAATGAACTGTACGGGCCGCAAGGGCTGACTTCAGACTACCTATCAAGCGTAGTTACCACGACAACCTTTACATATTTAGAAGAACAGGCTGTCCCTTCTATATACATATTTCACCCACTTTTTTTTCAAAGTTAAAGAAATTTTTGGAGGTGAAGTTATAAATCTCAGCAGTGAAGGTAATAGTAAACATGGCGAACAAATTCAAGTTGCAATCATTTAGACACATTTCAAATTGAAAATATCGGTTATATTGACGTTATTTGATTATTTCGATTTATTTCAAAGTTAAGAAATGAAAATAATGTTATTGTGATTTCTGGCGGAAAAAGAATGCATACTTCATTAAGATGTGATTCTAGCTGGAGTTGTAACATCCCCCTTTCCCCTCAAAAAAGCATAAAAGAAAGGAAGGATAAAATAAAATCTGGTGCATGGTTACAATAATATTACTCCTACGATCATGAGCTTTTTGCCTCCGTTGAGATGACCAGAGACGTAAATAACTTATAATAAATGCGTCTCCGAAATGGCGAATGATTACCCAAGTGGCCACAATATCACATTTGCATGGATAAACTCAGAAACATTAATACAAATACGTGTAAATTTTCATTGGAAATCTGCTATATATTTTGTTCATATATATTTATGATTTCTTATTAGAGAAAATTATAAAATAACAAATATATATCTACTTAGTTCAAATTACTTTTGTCTTCTCTGATTTGAACACCGTGATTTAGCGTGAATGTAATACGCACGCGCAAGATTGTAAAATCCAAAAAATCCAGATGATTTCCGGAATTTTTTGAGGAATTTTCGTTGATTATTAATTAGCGAAGCTTAATTGAGAAAAAATAAAAACAAATTGGTAATCTTCAAGTACCAATGATGTTTAAAATATATAAAACAAACGACAGTACTCTTCCGATTTATCGGTATTAAAGGCCAAAAATTCGAGTCTATTATTTTAATATAGTAGTATAGATATGACTGATTATGATCATGCTATTCTTTATACAAAAAGTATTTTTTGTTCCTCTATTGGGGCCCCATCCTACCCCAAGGGGTCATGATCTGAAAAAAAAAATGAATCTACAGGATCTGAAGATGTTTGCATAGTTAATATCACTAATCATGGCCACTCTGTCCTTGAGAAGAAGATTTTAAAAGACGTTTCCCAACATATTCCAATGTTTAACTGGATTCCTTATTATGGTCCACCTAACCCTGGGGGCCATGATTTGAACAAACTTGAATCTACGAAACTTGACAAGACTTGCATATTAATACAACTAATCATGGTCCTACTATAATTTAAAAGAAGTTTTATTTTCCTTTATATTTTCATTTAAAATTTTGATCCCCTATTATGACCCCACCCTTCCCCCAGGGGTCATGATTTGAAAAAAAAATTGAACCTACACTACTTGGAATGCTTTTGTTTTAATACCACTAATCATGGCCTTACTGTTCTTTAAAGTTTTTTTCCCTATATAATCCCATGTTAAAAGTGATCTTGTACTGTAGCCCCACCCTAACCTCAGGAAATACGATTTGAACAAACTTGAATCTACATTCATCAAAAAGCTTTCACACAGAGTTTCATCTTTTTCTTGCCCCGTAGTTCTTGAGGAGGAAATTTTTTTTGAGACATCCATTCTATTTTTGCCCTATTTTTATCTCCCCTCTGACAAAAGAGATTGCCCTTCATTTGAACAAATTTGGAACTTCTTTAATGAAAACTTGCTTTGTGGCAAGTTAAGTAAATCTGGCTGGGAAGTAGAAGTCCAAGATGTGAAACTTTAACAGATATATGGACACACAGATGACACTCACTTGAACCTTTGGTTCAGGTGAGCTAAAAACCTTAAGCCTTCACCTTAATTAACAATGCACACAACTTTCCAGTGTTAACTCATGATACTTACCTGTACATTTTCCCTCCAAGGTAAAGGTAGCCATCAAAGGTAATATTACTGTGGAATGGGATGGACACAATCTTTCTTTTGGAATCAAGCCCACACCGAACCTCATGAGAACTAAGTTCTAGGGTTACCCTGTGCCAGTCTCCATCATTTAGTGATTTATCAGCATCCAATGTCTCACTCAGAATTAGGTTTTCCTTTATATAAATTTCTATTCTAATGGAATCCTCTTAAAAAAAAAATTAAAAATCATATCAAAAATACTACAATTCCATGATTTAGAAAAAAATTGTCCATTCAAAAACTAAAACTACATTTATTTTCCTGTAGCTAGTCTTATCATTGTATTTTTTTAGTAATTCAACAGCTTTAGCCAAAGTGTTTACAAGGTACATATATAAAGAAGGCTTCCCCTTCGGGAATCTAAACCAAAATTGAATTATTACCCAAGTCTAATGTGACTTTGAACCAGTCTCCACTGAAGGAGGACTGATACATCAGTAGAGCGGAGGTTTGGTGGGTACGGAAACTGAACTCCATATCTCCATACACCCAGCCTGGTAACTGAAGGAAAGAGTCCTCTGTCACAAAGGTCACAGCTGACAAGGTCAGACTTTCCTCTGGCAAAAAAAAAAATAATAAAATGGAACCTTTTACTTGGGAAAATCAGTTTCATTGATGAATATAACAAATATGAAAAAAGGAGATGCATGATATCTTCAAAAATAAACTATTTATATAATATGGAAAATATATATTAGAATTTAAAGTGAAGTTTGCTGTAAAATTTTCATTAAATGTACTCACTATTTCCCCAGCATTTCAGAGGTCCAATGGTAAGAAATCCCTTGGAATCAGGTGTTTTGAAATCAGTGAACTGATATACTGTTATTTCCTTTATAGGTAGTTGACTTGTAATCCTATTGTAACCACTGTCTTCCCGAGTCACCAAATCCTCTGAAACATAATAAATATAACTTATGCTTGAAGTCTCCATACAAACACACACAAAAAAAAAACAGAACTCTACACAATTTCCTCTACTATATAACAAGTAATGTCTGTGTTTGTCTAACTTTTGTAGTATTTTATGGTTTAATCAAAAAGGAGATCAAACTACAAAAATTTCAAGCCATAGAAATTCAGTATGACACTGTATTTGGGAAACTCTCCCATCATTCTATAATCTTGAGCTTACCACTATCACAGTTACAGAGCCTCTTGTTACAGCCCGGGGAGAGAGTCTGGTCAACATCCCCTATGTACTGTACCACGGTACCATCCACTGACTTAAAACTGGTCAGATTTCCCAACCTACACAAAAACAAACAATATACATATTTGTGTCTATCATTATTAGTAATTTTCAGAATGCTTAATGTTTTGGACGAGAATGTGCTACATTCCTAAGAAAAAAATGGAAATAATCTGTTTTTGTTACTACCATAATATCACTAAAACCTTAGTGTAATCTTAAAATTTTTTTTAAAATGATCTTAGAATTCAAATTATTTGCACATTTCATCATCTCTTTGTATAATTAAACTGCTTTTATCAATAGAACTAATAAGAGGACTTGCCCTATGGGAGCATTGAGGCAGGTATACTGGACATATTGCTCACACCAGGCTGACATCTTTGTTAGCTTCTGAAGTTCTACAAACCCCATTTCTCTAAAATGAAGGAAACAAGTCATTCTTTACAATTTTACCTTACATTTCAATTTTTTATTTCATCCACTAAATATTTTTAAATGGTTGCCTTGTTCAGCATCTTCAAAGGAATTAAGCATCTGACATAAAGCCTGATTTAGCATTCACTTTTTACCACTATTGTTACGTTCTAGATGTTCTTCAATATCCAGGAAGAAAATTTCTAGATCCACCTATTCTTCCTCCCCTTACCTGTAAGTAAGTCTTATCATCAAGTCAGGCAGTGTAGTTCCTCGGACTATAGTCTGGTTGCTGAGGTTGTGCTCTACCACTGTCTGTCCATAATAATCTCCATCAGTACTGATTCCCATTTGACAGGTAACATACGTCGGCTCGACGGGACCACTGCCATCTACGTCAATGACGTAAACTCCTGAACTCCTCCAGCCACTCTGGTAGTAACTGTCACAGCTGCTCCTGTACCGTGCTGTAATACATCAACAGTGATTAGCTGGTAATGTCAGAAAAGCTTACCTTGGCAAATGTTTCTTACATTTTATTGCACTCTTCATCATTATTAACAACTAGTTGTCTTTTAGCATTTGTTCAGCAAGTTAAAGTGATACATGTATTTGTATCTGAATCCTGTTATCATGGTTAAAAATCATTCTAAAACAATACACACCAAACTGACAATATTTCCCTTGATAAGCACTGCTAGAACAGTCACAGGTCACCCCATCCCAGTCAGAGAGGCACCGCCCCCCATTACGACAGTGCTGGTGAGTCCGACAATGGTCCACCAAATGACAACCGTCCAGGATGAGTCCCCTGTGGAACCCCCCAGAGGGGGCACTCTCCATCAGATTGATAGGATCCAAGAAATGTCCTTGTATTACTATGTTTCTGATGCAGCCAACAAATCCTATGAAGTCTGAAATTATGCATTTGCTGGTCAGAGTGAAGACTTAAAGGCAATCAAAAGACAACAGATCATATCAATTGACAACACTAAAAGTAGATACAATAAATTCTCATAGACTTAGTACCTAAACTTTATAATCCAAAACTTATCAAACATAAATATAGTCAAAACAAATCAAATTGAACTACAAAGAGTAGAAGAGTTTACTTTATCATTACAATGTTAAATGTCAAAAAAAGTGCAGAAGTTTTGAGAAACTATGATTACCCTCATAAATTCTGTGGCCATATCCTATTTCTATGTTGTTGTATATTTGAGAGTCATTACCAATGAACAGTGATGGCAAAGACAAGTTATCCACAGAAATTTTCACCTGGCTAAAGAAAAAAAATATATAAATAATTTTTTAAAGGTTAATGTACACGTACATATTATTCGCAATTAATTCATCAGTTTAAAAATCATCTGTGCTTATTACTTTTTGCAACTGAAGAAACATTCTACATAAATACACAAATAAATGGTTCATAACAATAAATATTTGCAAGTAAAAAATGGTTATAAAATTCTCTAACTGGTTTATAGTAACTCTGTTCTAGACCGTATAAGATAACTTACCCTTGTTTAAGATTAAAAGACAGTGTATGCCACTTGTTATTGCTGACATTGACTGGCAACAGAGAAGTGTTAGCAGCAGTGTTCTGGTACATGGACCTCACAAACTTCAGCATAGGAAGACTTCCATTAATCCATACCTACAGGTAGACTTCAGATTAATTATCTCATCCTTGCACTGTTTTAATGTACTTGTATTAATATATCTACTAATATAATATGAGCTAGAGACTGATTGTAAGTAAAGCTGAATAATTTAAATCACTACATATCAATTCAGGAAAAGTATTCCAAATAAACTATCTGACAACATTGTTCAGTTGCAGCAAGTACAAAATGCATGATTGAAAGTATGAATCCTGAGATACATTATGCAAGTTTTATCCATGTACAGCATACAGCTATTTGGTAATAATACCCCTGTTTCTTTAACTTATATCTGTATTGATAAACTGGTATGCTTGGTAAATGCGTACTAACATCTGGATTATTTAAAGATATAAAGGAAAATATCACAAAGCAATTACCTCAAAATATCCTTTAACTGGATAACCATAAGAATCTATTGTCTGGATATCGGTGGATAATAATATGGCCATCTCCCTAACAGTTCTAAACTCTAACTGGATACTAAACGTACTGCCATAGTATCCAGATAGGAACAGGATAGACCTGGATCTTGGGAATGTAAGAGGAATGTTATCCACTCTATGGCAGCCATATTGGATCTCTGTGTTGCCATGGAGCTGGCTTGTGGAGAAGTTACTTCTGAGTTCATACAAAATGGAATGGTCATTGACAAAAATGTTTTTCAGACATCCAGCAAAGTTCTGTCTCACTTGAAGTCCTGCAAAAGAAGGAATGTAAAATTAGCACTCTCCCCCTTTAACCTATGCTTCTACCAATAGCATGGATTAATGAAATGGTGCACACTTTTTTCGCAAATATCAACCCATATAGGTTTTGGGACCGTTTGCAAACAATACTTATAACAATGCTCTATTTTTTTTTAAATGAAAATTAAAAGTGTGGGCATGATATTCTACATAAAAATTAAGCTATAAAGATACCCAGTGTCTGAACAAAGCTTTCGCCCCCTCCAATATAGATGTGTGGATCCAGGCCCAGGTAGTACATATCATTGACAGTCTCATGAATGTATGGTGTGCCATCCAGGTAAAACTCAACTTTCACTTTCTCATGGACAATGGTCAAGTTGTGCCACCTGTCAAAGGATTCAACAGAGAATTAAATGACCTAATGTATCACAGCTATAGCTTCTGAAAAGCTGATCATGTTTATCTGTGATGCAAAATGACATTAATGTCTCATAATACATTTTCATGCTTGCTTACAAAGCTCATCTTAGATCTAATGTAGATTACTACTCTACTGGAATGCATGATAATGTCAAAATGCATTATGAAATATGGCTTGATGATAAGTTACAAGAAACATGTCATAACCAACATGAGAATACATCTAGATTATATATATAGTTCATGTAGTTTGCATCTGTACTGAGCTTCAAAAGTGCACTCTTAAAGCATAGCAGTAAGAAAAAAAACATGAACTTTGCTATAATAAATTTTATAATGTTGAATATAGATATAATAGTCATTGTTTTCTAAACAGAAGCACCAGGAATGCATTCATTATGTATACCGGGGCCATTTACTAATGTCTATTAATTTATGTATTCTTTTTGAGACTTTGGCATTTTATATTTATTTTTGATAACAATCATACAACACTGACTGAAGTCTTAAGCTTCATGAAATTGACAATTACTTGCAGTAAATGAACAGGATTAACTAATACATTTAAAGTATAATAATCTTTACAATATAAAAAAAAAAAAATTCAGTTATCTACATGCATATGAAAAAAAAAAAATGGTTGAACATTAAAACACAAAAATAAAAGGAACTGAAAAATAAAATGAATATGGGTATCCAATGAAACATGATCTATTTCGGCACAATGAATAATTTTTAAGCCTTGAATGATCGAGTTTATCCCTCAGTGATCATTGAATAGAAAAAAAAATCTGAATGAGATGGAATTTTAATTAGATGCGTGAAGGTTGAATCTTATTGGACAACAACTGCAAAAATGTTTTCAATAAACTGAATTAATTTTCCTGACAGATCACATTTCGTCTCATAAATTACGACATACATGTATACACATGCTTCGTTTGTTGAATACAGTATTAAAGTCGCATTGTAAATAGGTCACTAGCAATGTGACAGTGCAGATTTCACTTACCCATCACTGCTCCAAATGAAAGAAAAGGGTTAGCACTTGTGGTATCTCAAAAGCTTCAAAATCTATACAATCTATTTTATAATTTTTTTTTTTAAAGATGCATTTATTTTTCATGTACATGTATATGGACTTTGGTAATTTAAGGAAAGAAATCTTAGTTGTAATTTTTGGTGAAAAAATGCATGTACATATTGATTTAGTATCTAAATAATCATTAAATAATTAACACATATACAGGTAAACTTCGTTATCTCGACATCGACGGGACCATCGGAAAATGTCGAGATATCCGAGGTGTCGAGATATCAGAGTTGAGACTTGACGTCCAAGATTGCATTGCATAGCAAAACGGACAAGCTTATTATATGTACATGACTTTAATATAGACTGTATCTCAACATATTTCAGAATTCCCTCTATTTTTATTAAAAATTTAAGAAGTTATTTTAAAAATCTTGTTTATAAAACGTGTTCTTAATCGAAATCTTTCTAAATTCACAAAGTTTCAGCACAGAGTTACAGCATTGAGCTGCATTCGCGTGTAACTTGCCTTTTCGTCAGAACAGGATACGAAATGCACTCTATAAACTTCGAACCGTATAAAGTCGACATCCGATATACGGTAAAAAAAAAAAAGAAATACGGATTATTTTTTTCTTATTTCATTCAGGAAGAATGTACATTAAAATTGATTTTTTTAAAGAGATTTGTGTATCTAAACTAACGAAGTGATGTTACGGATGCACGAATTACGGCTGATTCGATCAATCGTGTCGTTAATTGGATTGTTTCCTGTTGAATACATTTTAACTACAAAATATCATTAAAACATTTTTTTTTAATTCCTTAGTTTGAATTTTTCAGTGTGTTTGTTATTCATTGTAATTTAGTTATCTTTTTTCAAATTTAAAAGTTATGTTACGTTTCGATATAAATAACATTCTGTACATTTACGCAGAATCGTGTAGATTTAGCAATGATATTACCAAAGCTCAATTAACTTCTCAAAGACGCCGAAGGGGCTTGGGATTCACCTACAAACACAGTCTATAAAATTAATTAAACAGCGTGCAGTCAAACATGAGTGTGAAAGGTGTGAAACTTTGACGACGTCGAGATACCCAGAGTCGTCCGTGCGTGACGAGCGACCCTATCTGACAAACAGTTAGGTTCAGTGGAGCAGAAAATTGCCGATGTCGACATATGCCAGGTAAATTTTGCTCTTGGGACTGGGAATATACGTCGAGATAACCCGGGTTGTCGACATTACCGAGGTCGACATATCAGAGTTTTTGCAAATCATTTATATAGTAAATACTGCCGGGACCGCGGAAGGATGTCGACATATCCCAGGTTGTCGACATATCCGATGTCGAGATACCGAAGTTTACCTGTATATCATAATAAATTTTGATAAACTCTAATAATTTGTTTTTATGTGTCTTTTTTTTGCATCATTTACATCTGCAAAGTTGTGTATCTACATAAGCTGCTACAGCATATGTTTTCCCAGATCTGTCCCAATGTTTCCCTATTGTATTGTTCACTCAGATGACTATATATATACCTGTTATCGTCCACACCCAGGCCCATGGTCTGTTCTAGGATGTCATCCCCAAAGGCAACAGAGGCTTTGACCTTTCCTTGATGGACAGAGGCAATGAGGTGGGAATGGTGTTGTTCCATCCTGTTATCACTCATGTCTGTACTGCCCACTGCATACAGAAGTACCCCCGATCCACGGTCTGACTAAAATTTGGAAACAATAGCTGAGTGTTTTGACAAATCAGATTCTATATATTGCCTGGATGAATAAGTAAGAGAAATGAAATCACTGTTCTTGTCTCAAATAAAATACAGCAAAGTTATTTTCCTCAAGGTCATGCAAATTTTGTTGTTTTTCTCAAGGTCACTGTTTAAAAGACAGAAGCAGCAAGACTAAATTATAATTTTGTTCTGTCAAGCCTTTAACTTTCACTAGGGGTACAATGTAGCAGATTGATATCTTAAAATATACACTTGCATATTCTTTTCAAATTTTCAACTGTCAAATAATCTGAAAATATCAGCGAAATTTTTCCAACTCTACATTGAAAATAGCTTTTTAATAATCAAAAATTTATTTGAAGTCAGTAGCACTTATTGTCTGTACTGACAAACATATTCCCAACCCTCTGAGTTAAGATGACCTTTCTGGATCTTTTTTTTATGCTTTGTACACATGAAGTGTGAACTAAACACAGACATCTTTAATAGGATTGTTTTTCTCAACTTCAGATATCAGACATCAAAAGGATCGAGGAGAGACAGGGAATACTGAATCATCCCTACATGGCCCTGCTTACTTTGAATTGTAAGCTGAATCTATTTCTGTCACGTAAGGTCCTGTCTTCTTCAGTATAAAGCTGGTAGGTCAACCATTCATAGCCGTGGAGTGTAATTTCAGTAACAGCTACAAGAAAAACAAGATGCCATGTTACCCTCTATAACTGCTGCTCGTCTCTCCAATAAAAAGCTTCAAAATCAGTATCTTTATTTTGCAATTTAAATACAAACATCAATAGTGACATTTTCCCTTAAAGCATTAAGCATTTATTATGTTAGACAAGTCAACCATTATACAATTCCTTTTTCAAAAGTTGTAGTCAAATGTTAAAATTTCCCTTAAAAAAAATCTCATGCAATTTCTAACAGGAATTAATAAAATTCTGCCCTTTAGATCATTTTTTCATAATTATTAATTTCTTTTTATGTCAATTTATCTCAATTGCTGTCAGCAATTTTTATCTACAATAAATATTCGAGCTTTGCTTTTTTCACTTTTTATTGAAAATTACTTTTCATACAAAGTTTGTTTATCCCTTTAATCTATCCTGACTCACTAAAAATGAATTTCAATTGATATAAAGATTTATTCATATAATCTACATAATTAAATCATATGATCAAAATCTTTTGACAATAAAGAGTTTTTCATTAATTTTAGACATATTTCAATCATCTTTGAAAACAAGAAAGGGAATGTGTGTTTCCTATTTCACAAGCACTCTATGGAAGTCGATATTTTAACACCAAATAGCTAAACCACAAAACACCATAGGTGATTTTTTTGCCATAAATTATTTATTTACAGAATGTTTGTGGCCACACAAGTAATAAAATAAACTATATCTGCTATTCATCTTTTTTTTTTTTTTGCCAATCAAGTACAGGGGTAAAAAGTAATATTAATATGTTTTTGTCTGGTTTGATTTTATTTTTAGAGTGCCAACAAGATGTGTATGTAATCATCTACCTAACAAGAAACACCTGAACTTATCACTCTGCTAGTAATTACACATTCTCATTTCTGGTAAATAAAACACAAAGAGTCCCCTTTCCCTCTTTTACCTACCATTAAGGAGTCCCTTAGCTCCTCTCCTTCGCCCCCACCCCCCACCCACCCTTTACAAAGAAATTCAATCAAGAAAACTTCCTACTGGTGTCTTGGCACTTTTCTCCCTCCCTGTCTAAAGAGAAGCAGTCACAGTGAACAGAAGTGTACAGGTTAATACATCGCCCCTCTCCACAGGGGTTTTCCTCCTGACACAGGTCCCGACACCCAGACTCAGCCTGCATTATGATGCTGGGGGATACCTCCCATGTCACCTCAATTAGTTCACGATACTTCAGAGACTGCAGACAACCAATAAACTGGTGATACTCAATGGAAACTGATGGTGACAACCCTGAAATTTAATAGAGTATTAGCTTTAATGTGAATTGTTTTACCTACCAGGTAATCTCTCTTTCAAAAAAGATGTTTTTCTAACATAAACATTTGTAAAGAAAGGAAGCAAAATGATTTGCACATCAACATGCATAAACTTTTTTACATTTTATATTTATATATTCAGTAAATATCTTCATACAAAGAAACATATTTTCATACACAATTAGTAGTTCTATATTTACATGCATCAGAAATTCATTAATTTCCTACAGCTTAAGTTTCGAAAATCTTAATTCCTTTTAATTTGACATTTATAAATTAAAGCAGTTTTACTTGCACTTTGCAGTAGCAAGCACAAGATATTTTCTCTGTTTTATGAAATTGTCTTTGTAAATTTTACAAGAAAGTACATGTGACCAAAGAACAAGTTTTAAAGTATCTTGAATCTTATTATTTTCTTTGTTTTTAACAGATGTCAATTAAAGGGACCCCCACAAGCCAATTCCTGCTTAAAGTAGCATTTAACACCTACATACCTAATAAATATACTGATTGAAGTGGTTGCATGCATGCATGCATGCATGTGGGAATACGTTTTAAGTGTATATAATACATAACTGTCATGTAAAAACATGTATATTTTTGGAATATATCTTATTTTTATTGTTGGGAAATCCACATTTAAAATAAAGTAGGCTGTAGTTATCCATGTATAAAGTGTCGTTCTGTCCAAAACAAACTTTCACATACATGTGTGCAAATAAATTTTAAGAGAACCCTGCATGTACAAGACATGCCATCTCGTCATAAAAAAAAACTACATAAGGTATTTGCATACGGGCATAATCTTCCTGAAAAATAAATTTTGATGGACAAATCTATAAATACATGTAAATCTATGCTTTAAAATCGGGTAATACTTGAAGACTTGAAAGCATTAAATATTGATCAAATTAGAGATCAATAGTGAGAGACGACGTCAACAAAATGATGCAGATTTCAAACACATTGAGAGAAAAGAGGATATTTAACACAGAGTGATGGTGACTGTCACTTTTGGAAACATCTTACAAGGATCTGCCTAGACCCCACCTTTTAAAGTTTACAATGATAATGTCAATAAAATTAATGAAAATGAAATACAAACGAGTAGATATCATGAATTCTAGATTCAAAATTGAACAATTTTCACACATTTTGTCCTCTATTTTAAAAAAAAAACTGTAAAGCAGTGACATAAAGCTTAGAAAGATAATTTATACATCATTATTCAGGCAATAAATGAACTTGATTCATAAATTTCAGAACAAAACAAAAAATGTGTTTTATTTGGTTACCTGCAAATGACACCACAGACTTTAATCTTGTCCAGTCCAATATGGACTTGATATCTAAATACTGTGTATAAGCTCGGAGATATCTGGAGGTTGTCAGGAAATCATCAAAGGAGACTTGTAGTTCACCAGTCTTTGTGTTCAAGAATATATCCACAGTATGCCAACTGTCATCATTCAATGCTATAATAAAATATAGATACATGTCATGTATTGTATGGAATGAGCCATTCTACACAAAATCATTAGGTCATAAAACAGACTTTTGTTCTTATAGTATGCTACTGTAAATCACATTTTATTCGTGAAAATTTCATTTTTGCACATAAAATACTATTAAAGATTATGTGATTTTACAATAACCAGAATTTTGGAAAATTTTGTCTCCCTTACGATCTCACAATAAAGTGTCATGAAAATTTAGTGATCTACAGTATAGAGATATTGTAAGATTATATGTGAATCAAAATGCGTCAACGATTAAACAAGTTAGATTCTATATTGCAAAGTAAGGAATTATGATTTAATCAAAACTCAACAGAAGAATTTTAGAGTTTTCCCTTACGTAAAACTTTGATTGCCTGTTGTGGCCCCATCCTCCCTATCCTACCCACGGGATATCAGGATTTGAATATTCTTGAATCTACACTACTTGAGGATGCTTACAAATTCATATGACTATAATCATGGCTTTGCTGTTTTTGAGAAGCTTTGGAAATTTTTTTTCCCTATGTAAAACTGTGATCGCCTTATGTGGCCCAACCGTATCCCCCAGTGGTCATGCTTTGAACAAATTTGAATCTACACATTTAGTACTTGAGGATGCTTCAATATTAATATGACTAATTATGGCTCTGCTGTTCTTCTTCAGAAGAGTAAGTTAAACTTTGATATCCTATTGTAGCCCTGCCCTAACCCCCTGGGGGGCATGATTTGAACAAACTTGAATCTACACTACCTGAGGATGCTTCCATATTAATTTATAACTAGATACAGTCAAACCTGGAACTCAGTGGGACCAAGAAAAAACTTCGATATATCCACGATATTTGAGATATCCAAGGTAAAATACTTAGAGAATAAGGGGTTGGGACCTCCAAATCACTTCGACATATCCATGGTATTCGAGATATTGGTGTTCGAGATACCGAAGTTCAACTGTATGGCTTTGCTGTTCTTGAGAAGAAGATTTTTTAAATATTGGAGGGAGGGGTCATGATTTGAATTAACTTAAATTTACAATATGTAATGAAGTTTTCACATAAGTTTTATCTTTTCTGGCCTAGGAGATCCTGAGAAGAAAATTTTTAAAATATGCTATAAACATTTCACTCTTAATTATCTCCCCTTGAAAAAGGGTGTGGTCCTTCATTTGAAGGAACTTGAATCTCCTTTACTCAAGGATGCTCACAAAATGTGATCAGTAAATCTCACTTTAGCTAAAAGCTCAAGTGAGCTAAAATATGAAAACATAAAAATGATGTACAGTAATACAAACGTCCTAACAACCTGAGTGGTGTAGTGGTTAGAGGGTCTGCTCTAGAGTCATGCAGGTTGGTTTAAGGCACTGTGCATGCTGTTTTTAGGAGTAAATTAAAGTATGTTCAATCTCAATAGGCTGTCACAAACTAACAAAATCATTGCACAAGCAGTTTTGTATGGGTTATATTCTAACATTACCTTTAGTAGAGCTAAATCAATACAATGTATATAATTGGTGTACTGTATAAATGTTTATAGTCTTATGTCTAATTTATATTTAGGTGTTTTACTGTAATTTTCATTTGAAGTACACCCAACAGCAAGTTGGAGCATCCAGGCACAAGCTAAATACCAGCAGTACTGTAGTTTCTAGAGTATTTCAGTGAAACAAACAGAAAATCAATCTACTCATTTACACCTCTGTTATATTGTATTTTTATCTGCCTTTATTCAATTCAAACCTTAATTTACCAGGAACAGACATAAAACCTATCCCTAAACAGGAATCCATGAATCATAGATAGTCTCCCACTGTTCTAGGCAGACCAATACTTAGCTACAGTAACTATAGTCAATAACTCAATGAGTGCTTTTTCAGATTTTAAGTAGCCAGATCAGATATTCAGACTCTGCCCAGTTTACCACTGGACATATGGAATGTGTGAGGGTATAATGTAAAATTTAAAACCCAGCAGTGGACAGTATTATCCCCCGGAGTTCGTCCATCGCCAATTGATTTTGTGATTTATGGGTGTGGAGTTCATCAATAATAGAGGACTGTCTTTGTCCTGACATAAGGACATATACATGACAAAAGGCCCATCTGACTTTATCAAATAGTTAATGGACTGATAGCATTAGAAGATCAATATCTTATGAAGTCTTCTAAGACTAAGAGATATCTGTTTATGAAACAGAGACAAAATTTCATAAGGATACATGTAGGTCCCTTTGTTTATATTTTACTTTTACCTGGATAAGTTTTGACATTGATCTTGGCAAAGAAAATATATGGGAATATTTAAGCAATTTTATTTTATCAAGTAGATATTTTACACTAAACCTGCCATGATTATAAGTAAATTAATAATAATTGCCTTTATATTTGTACTCTGACTTCATATCACAAATATGTCACTTGATTGTGTTCAAAACATCTTTTATTTTATTAAGTTTTTAATAAAGATTTTAAGTCACCGGGCAGTAAAACAGTTACAGTGAATGCCCTTATAATTCATGCTTTCAGTGAATTTTTTGCATAAAATAAACTTATCCAATGTAACAAATTATGTTTAAAACTTCCAAATCAAAAATTGCTTGTCCCTTGGTCTTGGGCCAACAATAAAAAATAATTTGTTTGATGTACTCCTACTGACCCATCATTTATGGTCAAAATCTTCCCTACTTGATCACTTAATTATTTCAGAACTTGAATTTTTTTCCCGTTTCCAGGGAAATACAGATTGTCTTTATCATTTTTCAAGTTATAAGGTGTATAATTTCTCAAAGATGCTTTCTATAGATTTAAAGTTTTTACAACAATAAATATTTAATCTGTCTCTTGCTTTCCTGTGTATTCATTAAAAAGATCAATAAATTTCCAAGTCTGTGATTTTAATGATGATAAATGTGTTCTTAGATAATTAAAAAAAATACCTACCTACCTACCTACCTACCTACCCACTTGAAAAATGTTCAATGTAGTACATCAAACAAAAATTTTTTTTTAGGGATGGCCTTGGCTATAAGCGAGTTTTACTGTGTGTGTGTATGTATATCAGGGTTGTCCCTAAGACCCAGAGGCAGGGGAATTTCCCCGCCTATTATAACATAATCCCCCAGTTATTCTGCCATTCCCCCTCAGCCCCTTTTACTAGAGGAACTCCAGACCCCATTCTACTTTTTAAATGCCCCCTGCTATTTCAAATCTTAAGGACAAACCTCATATATATATATATATATATATATATATATATACATATATATATATATATATATATATATATATATATACATATATATTCTGTTATAGACAAGGGATAACCAAAATTATGTTAAATATGTGATTCTTTATACCCTGTTAAATTTCAAAACATTTCTTCTACATGAACAGGTAATCATGATAAGCTAGGGGTCACACTAAATGTGTTTCTGTGTACAAGGCCTATAGGATCACAAGCATTCAAAAGTGTGATAATCCGTGTGGAAATTCCAGAAAACTGTAAGATTGGTATTAAATGGGAAATATGCAAGAAAGCACATTAAAATGATCCTCCAAATTTAAATAATTGACCATAAAAAAAAAAATACCCGTTTTTAGAATCCCTTTCATCTCCCTACAGCTGATGGGGGACCCATCTTGAAGATGATTGATGGCTAGGTCATTGAGGGAGCTTATAGAAAATTGATTCTATCATTCCAAGAGGGTGCTGTCTATTGTGACTTTTATGTCACAGACTGCTGTTTCAATAATCCAGTTATCTTAATGTTGATCTACCTAATTTGTACAATATTTATTTCTGTAAATGTCAATAAGCCAGCAATAAATTCACTGTGCTTTTCCTAATCTGTAAATCCAAATTAGATATGGAAAATGATTTACGAGGAATGCCATGTTACATTAGCAGTCATTATAAGGCAGAGACCTTGGAAAAGAATTTTACAAGGTTTACAAGCAATATAATCATTATATAATTATTCTAAAACCAAACTGTATCTTCATTGCACATCTAAAATCATTCTCAAATGATAGCATGCAGTTTTTAATCTATTGAGATAGCCTTATATAATTAAACCACATGCTTTTTCGAGATGTCAAGAGGACATTCTAAAATAACTTTGAATGTCATTCTAGTCATAATGCCTACAATCTTCTATGTCTATAAAGATTCGTAAAATTATAGATACATAACACCCTGTTCATAATAATATCCCGAAGTAAAAAAGAAAAGTCCTAGCATGTAAATGTGTGAAACTGTGTCCCTGCCATATATAAAAAATGCTTAATACAGCATTATTATTTAGTTCTATAACAACACATTCATGGCACTGACAAACAAACTGACTGACAAGTGTCATTTCGGACAAACTCATATCTACTATCATATATTATAAAAGCTAAATGACACATCAGTTTTAACACTGGCAGTTATACCTGTACTTTTGTCTATAAATCTTTTCTCGAGACTAATAAGGTAAAATTTTATGACAGGAATGAAATTTATACACCTATGACTTTGCCAGGTTTATTCATATATAATAAATGTTGTTTTCTTTGACGTGTGCTTACCTCTGCCAAGTTTAATCACATCAGAATTCTGGTTCAGATTGTATTTCACTTGTAAATATCCATGACTTAATTCGGCACAAAAATGATAGTTCTCCAGCAGAGGATGAAAACTTTGATTAAAATGCTCCAACAAATGACAGAATAATAATCCATTGGGAGATCTTGTCCTAAAGCTCAAGATAATCTGTTGGTCTTGTTCTAAAGTGAGATTGGGTGAAAAGGCCAAATAAGATTGGTCCTTTGAGAAAGTCCATGTTGAGGTGGGGTTTGTGCTGGTGGTGACCGGGTCCACATAGCCAATGGTCCAAATAAAGAATAGGAGAATTCCCCACAAGGAGGGGCAGACAGGATTTCTCTGGTCCATCAGCTCATCTTTTGAATCTAAAAACAAAAAATCAATTTCAAGAGAATGTGTGTCATTCATAGAGAGATGTTTTCTCTATGACAGTTCCAATGTCACTATCTTAAACACTAAATGGATTTTTTTTTTACAATAATGATAAAATACTGTAAACAAAATCACATATTTACATGGGGTCAAATTTTTTGAGGACATGAATTTGTGGGTCTTTTTATACCTTGAAAACGACAAAAATTAAACCCCCATTGAAAATTAGTGATCTCACAGTAACTGAAAGTGTACAAGAGTCATTAATTAGGCTAAATACAAAGTCTTCATCCAACCAATGCAAGTAAATGTAAGATACAGGAAAAAAGCTTGGTATTTCAAAACCACAGGACTGGACAAAATTTGAGATATCAAAAGGTTGGAGATATCTGAGGGTTTGGGATATCAAAGACTTTGAGATGTTTGAGAGTTTAAGCCCTAAAAATGTCAATAATGAGGAACTGAAGGTTTGAGATATCTGAGGGCTTGATATATCTGGGATTCAACATAACAAGATTCTGAGATAAATTATGCCTTTCAATCAAAAAGCTTCTTCATTAGTCAAGGACTTTGTTCTCTTAACATCTATACATAAAAGAAGTCAGCCTTTCAAATTGACCTTTTCAAATCTGTCAATTCACTAGATGCATGTTATAAACCTCAAAGAGATATAAAGGTTCTTGCAAAGAGTCATGCAGTCAAATACTCAGGAAAACTATTACTGCATATATATCAATTGTTGCATGACCATGATGACCACAGCAACTCACTGGCAGATATAACAAAATATTTTTAAAAAAATTTTAACCAGAAAACTCTATCAAACATAAGTCAAATATATTTACCAAAATTCAATCTAAAACAACAACTAATTACCTCTATTCAACATCAATTCCTTCCAAGAAAGAAATTTTCAACAACATCCCTACTCTGTGATCACCCCCACAATGTCAACATACGAGCTTCCTGTGAGTCTGGGCCGATTATTGATAAAGTAATCCTCCCTCCCTTACCTCAAATTCTGCCCCCTGACCTCCCAGGAGGATTTCACTGACTAATTGGTCTGCTTATAAGTAAGTGAAGCATATCCAATCGATCTGCTTAGGGAATATTGTAAGGTGGCTAAGAGATTGATTGGAATGGGTCATTGTAATTATACTCACAGAGTAATCAACTTAATGGCATTCTGGTGTGTTGCTGCAGAAACAGTAAATTACCAACACATTAAAAAAAAAACATTTTTTAGCTCTGAAGATTGCAATATTCCAACTGAAAAAAGGTCACATGCTCTTATGCTACACACTCTGAACAAGAAATATTATCAATTTTCTTGTCATCAAATCCAGTAATAAATCCAAAATATTAAGTCATAAGAAAAAATAATAACCTTGGAATATGTCAACTTTCATCACTGAATTTTCACTCAAAATTCTGCAAAATCAATAGATTAATGGACCATATCTTTGGCACATTTACTATTTCCTACACCTCATTTCTTAATAATTAATGCCCATTTATCATGCCCATTAATTATGAAAGGCACACTTAACAGTACTGCCCAAGTTTACATACCACCAATGTCGCTGAGCTGACCATAAAATCGGTCAATGTGTTAAATCCAACAAAAAGAAACATAAATGGTGTGTCCTTTTGCTGTCATCATTGTTATTGTCTGATCAATTAGGTCCCGAGGAAGCCATTGATCCCGTACTTAAACACACCTGGATGCTGAGCCATTACTGTAAAGGCTGGCTGAGACACAATTACTAATATTATTGGTGTCTATAACTAACATCTTTCCTGCTGTGAGCTAGCCACTGAGAATGTAGTCATTCAAGGACTAGACTGATAAATATTTTATGAGAAAGAGAAAAACCGATTATGTGCAAGAGCAAAATTACTTCAGTAAAGTTTAAGGGGGTTCAACCATGCATACCTATGGTAACCTTCAGATCTATAAACTTCAACTGATGATTCAATCTACTGTAGGTATATTTTTCTTTTTTTAAAAAAGCCTTCAATTTACACTGAAATTTATCCAAATGAATACACAAACGTCTAAAATCTGACCATAAGATATTATAAAAATTAAAAAAAAATTAAAAATAAAAAATGCTCTTGCAGAGGCAGAATCTACATGCATATTCCCCCCTATGATCATTGATCCAAACCAGATGTGCTGAATGTAACATGATGAAGCCTGATTCAAAGTGGTTCCATACAAGCCAGGTATTTCTCAGGTTCTTTCCTCTCAGATTGTATATTTTATCATTTTAATGCTTTCAGACAATAACAGATTATTTGATAACATTGCATTAAAAAAATCATTATAACATGTCATAAAATATGAATTAAAATTTTGCTTCATTTCCAATTGAATGGAATTCAAAAATAACATTGTAGAAAACAAATATGACACAACAAAGCTGCACTCAAAAGTCTGTTATCCTACTGAGAATACCCCCAGTAGTATTGAATTATTCTGCTAGCTAGAGCACAGTTTTGTCTGAATTTGAAAATCTATATTGGGCACATAAATAAAATACATACCTGATTCAAATCAATTACAGATGATCTTGATCTTATTTTAATACTCAAAGCATGTATAAACATCTAGTTCCATCACATATCTGGAAAAAAAGAGGATATTCCTTGCATTAATTATGGAATCAGTCACAATTCCTGCACATTGTCACACAAGTGGTTTTCAACACAAAATATTGACTGCACCCTAGTTTGTATCGTGACAAATCTACTGACAATTGTAAAGTTCAATACACTATAAGAGACCAGCAGTCTATAGCTATACTTTTACTAGGGCAACTCATTCTGTGCCCTAATCCAATCCTATTCATACCAACTGAAAAAAAATTCTGAGCCCTATGAATTACAGTTGGAAGTTGCTTGAAAATTGATTTCCTATCCGTAAAGCTGCGTGGTAATATCATTATATAATTGGGTGTATTTTTAAATTCTTTATTGTAAATGTAGCCATTATATAATGTTATCCATTTAGTCGGTTGATGCTGCAACCAAAAAGTTTAGAATTACCCAGCAACAACATCAGATATGCTTAAATGATACCACATATTCACTGTAATTCACCGTTAACTGTTTAATGGCATGATCGATGATCGATGAAAGTCGTCTGGAAATTCCGACAACAACATTAGCTTTCAATCTGCCTATGGACCTCAAACTCAAGATTCATTCAATTACAATATCACAGATTTCCCACTCAAACGAAGCATTAACCATTTCTAGTTGAATTGATGCTTGTTTGAGTTCACAACAAATACTTTTAAAGCCTTTAAATTACACATTCATCCACTTATGTATGTATGCAAACAACTAGTTCTAAGCCATATTTTTCACACCATATAAACAATCGATACAAATAATACCCGTGATTTTCAACCAGTTACCTTTGCCACAGGTGCGATAAATAAAATGAATTATCTCTACAACAAGGTGCAAAAAAAATTCTACAGAATTTGAACGGTTCATTCTGAAATGAACAATGCAAGTTCTTTCATACTCAAATGTGATATAAAACAGGAAAACATAATACATTTGGCAGAACTTTTCATTCGAGAAAAATATAATTCTGGCATGGTCAAATAATTATGACAACAAATGCCTCATTCATTTAAACTGTGCAATATGTCTGAAATTTAAAGTCCATGCTTAGTATAATTCTAAGAACAGCTAGAAATATTAGAATGAATTAAATGTTAATTGGTTCATCTATTGCATTCATTGAAATGTATAATAACTTTATAAATCTCCTACTAACCTACAGTAAACAGTATACTTTGTTAATTTCTGGATACAAGTAGATAAATAAATAAACAATAAAGGCAATGATAGAGAAAATTAGCCAGAAGTTTGACCACTTATTGCCATTATGCTGAATACATTTCCCATCTGTTGATTCTGGCTTCTGTTTATTTACTTAATCACTGAAAACCAATGAGTATTTTAAAGGCTTTCACCATCATTAATTTGTACAATTATTAATTACCTGGACTTCTTTCCAGACATAACATGCAAGAAATGTGAGAGCAAAGTCTGTAAATAAATTAATGCTTTATTCCACTTAATGCACAAATAAATAAAACTTGAAAAAGTAGTACAGGGAAACGAAGCATTTAGATGACTGCTACACATAGATCTATAAAATTCTTTCCTCAATCGAGTTAGATGCAACATTCACATTCCTAAGGAGGTAAATCAATATTGCTACCATTTAATAACCATTTGATCTAAATAAGATAAATTGAGAAACATTCAGATATTATAGGAATTAATAACTAAATGTTTGAACTTTAAAAATGCACTTATAAATGTGGAATTTAATTTGAAAATTTACCTGTTTATGCTCTTAAGGGCTCCAAAGGGTAATCTTAGTCCTACAAGTCTATGTATATGAGACACCTGTCGCAAATTCCATATTTATCTGACAAGATTATAATGTCCTTTTAGGTAAAGCACAAATTAACAAACTAATATAATCTCCTATCAAATCGGTTATTATTACAACACTTCACCACGCTTCTCACGTAAAAAAAACTATGAATTCAAGAGGGTTTTAAATGTCACAACTTGTTAAGACCACACCGGCCATTTAACCATACTAGTGTACCGCTGATAAGCAATCCAGTGGAAGAAGAAGAAAAAAATTAGTCCTTTCCTTAAATCTACCTTGAAATCACTGATTAGCCGAGTTCACGCTACCTGTGAACTGACATATTAATTAACCTGCCATAGGTTGCAAATATTTAAATTAAAGTTACTGTATTATAAAGATTATATCTAGAGTTCAAATATTTCACACAGGTATTTTTGGAACAAAAAAAAAAGGTGCTCATTTAATAATCAAATCTAAAGTGCACATAAATTAATCTGAATTGGTTCTGTGGAGGTATTTTTTTCATAGTATTAATTGACAAAGTACTTCCAACAGTATAAAAAAGAAAACAACTAGAGAATAATTTACCGGTAGGTATACTCAAATACCATTGGCTTTACCACATGTTGTTAATTGTGAATGAAATCTCAGTAAGTGTCATCTTCAATATATACTCAGTACCTCCACAGTACATCTTTACATCTATTTCCCCCTTCTGCTCTGAAAGCTTCTTGTGAAAAAATTTCTTGGCTTGAGGCAGAAAGAAAATCTTTAGTATCTAGCCATTACGGAAATGTTTTACTGCAATAGATTACAAGTGGCAATTCAGATGAAAAAAAAATGTCCTTGCAATCAAGATACGAAAGGCATTTGTAGAGAACCAATTTTTGTTCAATTTTCTGACAGAGACCGAGCTTTTCCCTCTTGATTTCAGCATCTGAGAGTTAATATGCTTCTTCATCAATCATTTCTGAGATGCTATCTAATCACCAGGCTTAAGTTTCATATAAAACTCATTTTTATTTGTAATTACAAGTATAACTGTTTTGCTAGACTGGACATTCATCATCTGTTATAGACCCGTCAGATCTCTGATTAATCAAACCTTGCAATATCGGCACCACTGCATGTAATATAAGAATTCTAAGTACTCCGTTTATATTAATTCTTATGTCAATTTGTACAGAACTTCTACAGCTTCTGACCCTGCAAGGTCTATTGATCTTGGCTCATTTCATATTTTCTATTAATCAACAAATTCCTTTTTCTCAGCTTCTTCTTTTTTAAATTAATCTTACAATTAGAGGCCAAGAAAAAACAACTCTTATTGAGATCAGCTGTATGAAGAATATTTCTTTTCAGACAAAATAATATTGGCTTGCATGAGGTAAATTAGATATGGATTAATTTTCCGCACCAAAGAAAACTCAATTCGCAGTAAAAGCAACAGTCATATGCAACCAAATCTCATTGCTTGGTACAGCTATTGAGATTGTGAATAATTGCTATTTGTTTTGGAACAAAATAATTAACGATTACAATGTTCGATGAATAAAAATGAAAAATAGTGCTAGTACCAACAATTTTCATAGCACAAATCAATTCTCTATTTACTTATGCTGCTAAAGTAATGAATTTGAAAGAAGATAGAAAGTACTGGTAGATTCTATTAAATGAGGGTACATTCAACTGCCATTCAATTAGTCAAAATATTGGTATATCAGTACTAATACCATATTCTATACAAAGTCAGAAATCAAATAATAGATAGATGTAACCCGTGCTTAGATTCATGGATAAATATTTTCCACTGTGTTAAATAACATAAACCAACACAATTGTTGAAAGCCCCGCTCTACCTCAAAACGCTCTGCTAATGGACTTCATGGCATTTTAATACAATAATATTTGTATTGCATGGTCAGTGTATTTTATGGGCACTGACCTCTAACTTTTAACATATAATAACCAAATAAATGCCTACCTGATTCCCCCTATTTTCACCAACTGATGGAGTCACCAAATGCTAAGCTTCAGTGATGAAGTTCATAATTTTTTACAGCGGAGTAAATGCAATTAGTTTCCACCCCATTAATCAGGCTACATTGCCAATAAGAAATATCTGCTATATATCCATTCAGGATATCTTGTTGTTGCAGCATTAGGAACTGGAAACAGTAGTTTAATAAAAAAATCACAATTGGTATCCAGTTATAATCAATACTCACACTGGCAACATTGTGCATCTGAGAGTAAACACAGAGGAAAATGCACTGCTTCATGTAAACTACCTTACTTCAATGGATCCAGGCTGAAAATGCCAGGAGTAAAAAAAAACAGATCTCTGCAATTCCACAGATGTCAAGATGATGCCATTAAATGTCCGTGGTAGCACGACAGAATCACCCATATTATTTCATTAATGAAATTCATCCAGAGCTGAGGAAATTGAATTCCAAGGTTCCTTGTATCAAACACTAATGTCTTTTTTCTGGACAAAATCTAACTGTCTGTGGAATTCATGTCAAAACACTTATGAATGTACAAACAAGGGGCATTACAAAATCTCTCAGGCCTTTACTGGAAAGGTTTCGATTAAAAGCTGTTTTTCTGATCCCCTTTTGTAAAGAGATGGTCAGAGGAGTGAAAAACTATTCCTCTGGTATTTGCAAATAAAGGTGGAAATGCCAGGTATTACTAGGCAATCACCTCTGTCTCATGTCAGACACTTTATCTGGATAATTATTCAAGCCAAAGAACCAATAATGACTTTTTTCAAGGACCTAAATACCAGTTTCAAAGAAATTTTTCAATTAATTCTTACATTTGAATAAATGATCCATTATTGCTATTGTTGCTATTGCATGTAAATGGTCATTTTTACTGGTTGAAAAGGAAACAGCAAGGGGGGTACATGAACTTGAATGCTGGTGGGTGTTCCCCAGTCAATAAGTAGCTCTCAACCCTCCCTCCCCTTATCAGTAAATCGGCACCCCTTTGACAGCCTAACACTCCTCCCTATCGGTCAGTGATCAGCATGCCTGATTATCCCCCAATCAGATAAACACACCTGACTTCAGATTAATTCAGGTGACAATTAAACTATATAAATCTCAGTGGTATTCCAATTAAAAAGAAATATCAGCAAGGTTGGAAAAG